TCAGTGAGAGGGCTCAGTGAATACAAGCCATAGCCATGAGGCCTGAAAACCGGAGTTCAATCCCTAGAACCCACATGATGAAAGAAGAGAATCAACTCCTGCAAGTTACCTCTGACATCCACATGAGAGTTGTGACACACATGTGCCTTGCCCCCAATAAGAAAAATAAATAGAAAAAATGCTAACCGTCATTATTTTGTGTATATGTGTACATGTTCTCATTTGTGTACACTTGGTGTGAAAGCCAGAGGTTAACATCTGGTGTCTCCTTCAATTGCTCTCCACTTTATGTTCTGAGGCAGGGTCTCTCACTGAACCTGGAGCTTGCTGATACAGCTAGACTGACTGACCAGGGAGCCTCGGATATCCTCTTTCTCCACCTCATCAGGATGCAGGTGTGAGCTAGCGCCTAACTTTTTACGTGGGTGCTAGGGATTAGATTCAGGTCCTCATGCATGGAAAGCACTGAATCGACTGAGCCATCTCTTCAGCCCCCATTTTTATTAATAATGCCAAAGATATACTGAGTTCTTCTATGCCGGGAAGGCGCTGATACTGCATTTGCTCAGGAGCCCTATGAGGCCATTTCTTTTATTGTCCTCACTTTACAGAGGCTCAAAAAGAAGCACAGAAAAATGATATTACTTGGGCTGGAGATAGGCTGGCCTAGTGGAGAAGAGCACTTGTAGCTCTTGCAGAGGACCTGAGGTTTATCCCTAGCTTGCACATGGTGGCTCACAACCACCTGTAATTCCAGCTCAAGGAATTCACTCTCAAGACTTCCAAAGGCACCAGGTATACATATAGTGCACAGACATACATGCAGGCAAAACACATTTAAAAAGTAAAACACCACATACCACTCTTCCAGAGGACCTGAGTCCAAATCCTAGACTTCATATTAGGTAGCTCACAACCACCTGTAACCCCATAGAGCAGGACAGTGGAATTCATTACCAGTGGAACTAGAACTGAAAAAACGCAGAAAAACTAGATAGCACATTCCAGTTATGGACTAAGGGAACTCAACCCTATGCTGTGAGGAAACCCAGGCCATGTGAGTGTCATGTACAACAGCTTCAGACAAGGCCCCAGGATATAGTCAGTGTCACCTGCTAAACCTATGAATGAATCTGCCTTTGAAATGTGTGGAGCTGATGGCTTTTCTGACTGCAACCCATGAGAAACCCAAAGGGAGATCCACTTGGGCAGAGTCCAGGCAACTCCCGGACCCAGGTGAGATGGTTTACACCAGTCAACAGTGGCTGTGCATAAGACGATTGTTGTCATTTGACATTTGGGGCAGTTTGTACACACTGATACATGCTCATGCATGAATGCAAGACCTGGACCCAACCTGTTCATTTAGCGTCAGCCCAGCATGAGCCCTGCCCTGCTGTCTCAAGCACTCTGAGTTTCGTGTGTTGACCCCATGTCCTTCCTGCACCTGAGTGGTTAGCATCAGACCAGACCAATGCAGCTGTTTGCCAGCTCTGTTCCCGCCTCTCTTCAGTGGACAAAGGCCTTGGCTTTTCCTTTCGAAAAGCATGATCTTTGTGCTCCCCCTGGTGCTCACTGGCAGTCCTGGATGGATTCAGTATCCCAGCTGGACATTGTTTCCAGCACCTGAATGCAATCTCAGTTTGTTCTGGCCTAGCATCAGAACTGAAACCGGTTCTAGGTGGAGATTCCTGGAGCAGGGAAAATCTCTCTCACAGAGGAGCAGCTGAAGGACTCTGGGTCTACTTCTAAGAATAACATGGAAGTGGGGGGTTGGTGGGGTGTTTTGGTCTGTGGGTCAGCTGTGGGAAGCTGAAAGAGGCAGAGGGTAGTAGTGGTGTCACTAAGACCACGGTCCTTTCTGCTTTGCATGGCCAGGCAGGTGTGTCTTTTGATGATGGTTGTTAACAAGCTTGTCCATTTGTCATTGTCGCAGTTTCACAAGTTAGTATGCACCCCACAGCAAGAAGAACAAGTTGTCAATTATTAGTCTTTCCAGGGCGGAGCGCTGTGTGAAGCGCGCTATGTGAATGTCCCCACTTCATCTACAGTAACAAATAAGAAGTGCTATTATGATAACCTTATCATACATGGGGGATAAGGTGAATGAGGCTCAAAGAGCCTGGGCCAACTCATTTAAGAGCAGGTGTAAAATATGAGAGACTGCAGAGATGATTCTGTCCATAAAGCACTTGCTGCACAGCATGAGAACCTGAGTTCTGATCCCAAGCATCAGTGTAAAAGCCAGGAGAGGGGCTGGAGAGATGGCTCAGCGGTTAAGAGCATTGCCTGCTTTTCCAAAGGTCCTGAGTTCAATTCCCAGCAACCACATGGTGGCTCACAACCATCTGTAATGAGGTCTGGTGCCCTCTTCTGGCCTTCAGGCATACACACAGAAAGAATATTGTATACACAATAAATAAATAAATATTTAAAAAAAAAAGCCAGGAGAGGAGCCGGTGAGATGTCTCAATGGTTAAGGATGTTTGCTTGCTATTCCAGAAGACCCAAGTTTGCTTCCCAGGTCAAGCACCTAACAGCTACCTGTGGCTCCAGCTTTAGGGCATTGCTGTGTAACAGTTTTCCTCCAGATCAAAACTTTCCATCCTGCAGGAAGCTCTTTAAACAGGAAGGTAAACAAAGCAAAATAGCTTCAGGATGTCCCTGAAACTAACCAGATTCACTAGTCCCCTTCCTGTAAGAGTAAAAAGTAAAAGCTAAGAATGTCCCTGAGACAGAAGGAAACTGAGACTGCAAAGTCTCTGACACCAGACCAGCTGCTTGGAAAAGCAGAAACCAGTTGAGCTGCCTGGAAGAGGTTTAGACCATGACACCTGGAAAAGACATGATCTAATCTGATGAGCTGACTACAGGCTGTGCAGTGGGCTCCAGGTTCCCAGCTTTGTGAGCTGTCGCCCATGCTGGATTGTGTTTCAGTGATGCAGCTGTCTTTGAGTCATCTCTGCTCCTGTGAGTAACTCCAATAAAAATCATTTGATGACCAGATTGGACTTTGATGGTTTCCATACTTTGGTTTATCATGAGGTCTCCATGGGGTGAATAGACATCTGTATGGTGTCTCCCCAACAGGGGAGACACAGCAGGGATCTGACTCCCTCTGTGGGTACCTGAATACCCACAAACTCCTTCGATCAACAGAAACATATTCACATACACACACACATACACACACACAGATAGGGTTGAAATTAAATTAAAAAACAATGAAGCAATAATCTCTGTAATCAGGGTCAAGCATGTGAAAATCCTTTCTTTTCCCTTTTGTGATGTTAAGGGTCAAATTCAGTCTCGTACAAACTAGACACTTGCTAAACCACTGAGCTACATCTCCATCCCAAACTGGCCTCAATTCTTACAAGTGCTGGGATTACAGCCATCACTGGCTATACTGGCAAAATTTCCATTTGATAACATTGAGTGCTGGTCAGATTCAGAGCACCAAGTTTCCCATGTGCTTGCAGGGTGAATCGAGACTCCCATCTTGGCTAAGGTTTCTTTCTTTCTTTTTAAAATTATATTATATTAGTTATTTGAAAAGTTCATACACTTGCTCAATATATTTTGATCATTTTCACCCCTACTCCTTCATGTAACTCCTCCAAGACCTACCCCACCCCTTCCAACTTCATGTCTTTTAGTTTTATTTTATTACCCACAGAGTCCAGTTTGCACTGCTCATGCACTCATGGGTACTGGGCCATCCACTGGTGGTGAGTTGACACACCAGAGACAGTGTACTTAAAGGAAACTGATTCTTGTTCACAGCAGCCATCAGCTATCACTAGTTCCACAGTTAGGGGCGGGGCCTTGTGAGCACCTTCCCTACAGCTGCTTATAAACAAGAGCATCCCCATCTCTCTGGCTCTTCTCTCTGATATACACATTCTAGGGATTCTTGTGCACTGGAAGACATTAGAATAGTTAGAGCCACCTTGGCAAGTATAGCAAAAATGGTGTCAGTGGGATAGGTAGGAAACCAGCTATACCTTCTCTTTCTTCCTTCTTCTCCTTCTTCTTCTTCTTCTTCTTCTTCTTCTTCTTCTTCTTCTTTAAAACACAATTTAACACAAAGAATTGTTAACTAAGTATAAAGTTAACTGAGTGGATGAGAGGTTATCCACTCAATTACAGGAAGAACTTACCACCCCCAGAGCTGGGGGAACAAGCAAGCTGAAGGATTAAAATTTAAACCACACAAACAGGAGCCTTGTAGCACTGGCCTGTAGACATCTAAGAAGGGGGCTCTGAACTTAGAGGGTGCCTTCATGCTGGGTTTTGGTCCTAGACAGAGCTGGTACCGCCTGCTCTGAGGTGGCACATTGCTGGTGGACGACACCAAGAGTTACAAGAAGCTGAGGAGCTACTGAGGGGGCAAAGGATCAATCCTTCTTTTCACCTCTTGCCCTAGAGCCTAACCCTACTCTGCTTATTGGCAAAGGTCAACCCAGCCTAAGAGAAATCAAATTGCACCCTGGAAGTGTGGTTGGCGGGATCCGGATAGCAACCCCTGGGAAAGATTGTGGTTGGCTTTGTTGAGTCACATGCCCTTGAATTAACATGATGATAGGTCCAACATGAATTATATAGTTGACTAGGCCTGGTGACCTGCTCTTCTCTGTGATCTGTGGTGGCAACAGGGCCTGTTGTCGCCAGATAAAGGGGGCCAGGAAAACCTGCTGGGAACACAGAAAATAGCCAGGAAGTCACTACAGGTGTTCTGATTTTCCGCCAAGGCAACAGTAGCCATCTTGGCACATCATAATCTTACTTTAACAATTGCCCTATGAAAAATTCCTAAAAATAGGATTATCATCCAGGGTGATAATTTGCTGGAAATTATGTACAGGGTTGTATTTTTGAAGCAGATATGCATCCAATAATTTATCACACACACACACGTACGTAAGTGACAAAGACAGTTAAGAAGTGATAAATCCAAGGACACACAGCAGACACAAACTTTTATACTCGTGGTAAGAGGGTTTTGATGAGTAGTATCCTTTCTGTCTGGTTAAGGAAGGGAGCTTCGCCTGCTTTCTTCCCCTCGAAGGAGCTGGACCAATTCCCTTGATACAGGCTGGTAGCCCCGGCCCTCTGAGCCCAGTCTAGCTCGGAAAGGTGATGTGCTTCTGCTGGGTCTTGTGTCCTCCCAGTGGGTGCTTTCGGCTCGAAGCTCCCCTAGGAGGCTCTGCAAATGCCTCAGTGTGAGCAACAGCTGCTGGTCTTGGATCTGCATCTCAGCCTAGGAGAGAAGAGGCATCCGTGAGAATGAGACAGGCACTGTCTGTGTTTGTGGAGCCCCATCCCATCGCTTGCTCAGTGGAGACATGCCCCTACCTCCTCACACAAGCCGTAGATGCCGCATTCCCCTGAAGCCTCAGTTTTGAGTCTAGGAAGTCGGAACAAATTACTCACCTTTCCGAGGCTCTTAGAGGACAGGATGAACTGATGAATGGGAAGACATGCTCTGCAGCACGACACAGATACCACCACCCTAGCTTTTAATCTTCGTGCTAACAAATAAACCATCAGTGTTCTCTAGAGAAACAACTTACAGAATAAGTATATCTATATATATAGAAAGGGGGTTCATCAGAATGGTCTGCAGACTGTGGTTCAACTAGTCCAGCAGTCTCTGTCTACAAACAGAAGGTCCAAGAATCCAGTAGTTGTTCAGCCCATGAATCTGGACGTCTCACCTGGTCTTCAGTATATGCCAGAATACTGAAGAAGAGGGCTCTAATGCCAGTGAAGGAATGGATTTCACAGCGATAGTAAGAACAAGCAGACAAAGAGAGCAAGCTTCCTTTTCCCATGTCCTTTGTACAGGCTGCCAAAGCTATTTCTCTTTTTGCTTTTATTTTATTTCTATTGATTTTATTGAGCTGTATTTTTTCTCTGCTCCTCTCTCTTCCTCTCCCCTCCCCTTCTACCCTCTCCCATAGTCCCAGTGCTTTCAATTTACTCAGGAGATCTTGTCTTTTTCTGCTTCCCATGCAGATTAGATCCATGCATGTCTCTCTTAGGGTCCTCATTGTTGTCTAGGTTCTCTGGGATTTTGAATTATAGATTGTTTTTTCTTTGCTTTATGTATAAAAGCCACTTATGAGTGAGTACATATGATATTAGTCTTTCTGGATCTGGGTTACCTCACTCAATACGATATTTTCTAGATCTATCCATTTGCCCACAAATTCCAAGATGTCATTTTTTTCTGCTGTGTAGTACTCCATTGCATAAATGTACCACATTTTCCTTATCCATTCTTTGGTCAAGGGGCATTCAGGTTGTTCCAGGTTTTGGCTATGATAAACAATGCTACTATGAACATAGTTGAGCACGCTTTTATTTTCTTATTAGCACACAGTGGGGTTTGCTCAAAGCCAATGACATGCGATACCTCAGTGGATGGAATACAGTAATAGAAAGGAGACCTCAGTTGTTTTCTACTAATCTGTTGGGCGCTGTGGACCCAGACCCTGAATTTCCTATAAACAACTTTTTATGTTTGCAGCTGCTCTGAGTAGGAGACCCCCTGGAGTTCCTGATGGCAGGGGAGTGGTTTCTGGTGGGTTTGGCTGGGGCATGGCTATCAGACAAGGATCCATATATAAGCAGCTCTGGTACACAATAAAGGGGGACATTCTTGTTTCAAGGATGACCGTGCCTCTGTCTGTATGTCTTTGTGTGTTTAAATCTCCAGGCCCTTGCCCGGCTTGTGAATGGTCCTGTAGTGCAGGCTCCACACTACAGGTGTAGTACCATAGTACATGTAGTAGTACGAATGGTACACTAATCCATATGGTAAAGTAATTTGCAACAATGTAAAGAAGAGTCAACTCTTCTCTTTGCTTTGAAAAACCAGTTATTTAAATAATATTTTATTAACATATTGTTGAGTTTATTTGTTCAAAAGCATTGATGAATAAATAGTTTAAAGCATTCGGCATTGGCTTGTAACACATATAAAAAATGTTTTTATTAATGTCCTTGCTAGTTTTGCCAACAAAAAGGGAACCTAAGAAAGAATTCGAAGCTGCTATGCTAGAACATCACTGTCACACAACTCCAAACCTCACATCTCTTTCCAGAACGCTTTTCCTATACATTTTGTCCATTTTGTACACTATTTTAAAATGTTAAATTTTATTTTGTGCTGAAGTAATTTTTGCAACACATATTGAAAAGCTTCAAAAAGGCAACTGTCCCTCGGTATTCAAGGAGGATGGCTCCAGGATCCATCCCTGTGAACACCAAGATTTAAGGGCATCCAAGCACTTACAGAAAATGGAACTATGTTTGCACATGGCCTGTGTGCGTCTCCTGGTGTGCTTAAGGTCATTGCTAGATGGCCTCTGTCTTAATTAGGTTTCTGTTGCTCTAATAAAGACCATGCTTGTCACAGCCATAGTTCCAACTACACGGATCTGATGCCCTCTTCTGGCCTCCATGGGCACCTGCATGCATGTGCACAAACCCACATACACATAATAAATCTTTAGTATGTTGGAGTGTCAACTGTGGGGCTGGCAAGATGGCACTGCAGATAAAGGCACTTATTGCTGTTGTGCCTGAGTCCTAGGACCCCAAGAAGATCACCACAGAGCCACACTTCCAAATGCAAAAGCAAGTGCGGGCTAGCAAGGGCCCTCTGCCTCACAGTCTGATACAGCAGATGGGAGGGAGAAGAACCCTGTCTACTATTGTAAGGGGTTTATAAAGAAAAAAAAACACAAACAGTCATAAGATTATAATATTAAAATACAAAACTACATATCCTATATCATAATTGGAAAGATTAGGTAAAGCTCAGTTATTAGTTCCGGGCAATTATTATCTAAGGAGGATAGCAATGGCCCATGATGACGTCTTCCAGACATATGCTGACCCTTTGCTACCAGCTGGAGGTGCAATCCTGGCTGCTTCTGGCACCCAGCTTCTCATGCTGTCTCTGAGGAAACACTTCCCAGGAGATTTCACCTCAGTGATGCTGGTCTCTTCTTAATCACCACTAATGTTTCAGCCCCAGCTAACCAGCCTCAATTGTCCCAGTAAAGCCAAGGTTTTACTTCAGTGCTTCTGCTCACTTGTCAATCACTCTTGTGCCCCAACTAACCAGAACAACAAGTTCTCAACTCAAAATAGCAAATGGCCCTGATAGAGTCTTTAAGGAACTTTCTGGAACTTCATAAGCCAGGCCTCCATTGTCTGCATTGCTCTCAACATTCCTATTTTCCAAGATACCACAGAAAAGCTCACCAAGCTTTGAATACTCAATGGATTTTCTAGCCCAAGGCTTCAAAGTCCTTCTCCAATCCTCCCCAAACAACATGGTCAGGTCTGTTGTCACCACAATGCCCCATGCTCCTGGCACCATTTCTGTCCTACTTAGGATTATTATTGGTGTGATGAAACACCATGATTAAAGTAACCTGAGGAGGAATGGGTTCGCCTTATCACTTCCACATCACTGTTCATCATCAAAGGAAGTCAGGACAGGAACTCAAGCAGGGCTGGAACCTGGAGGCAGGAGCTGATGCAGAGGTTGTGGAGGGGTGCTGCTTACTGGCTTGCTCAGCATAACCTTTTCAGCCTACTTTCTTATTTATAGACCCCAGGACCACCAGCTCAGGGGCAGCACCATTCACAATGGGCTGGGCCCTCCCACATCAATCACTAATCAAGAAAATAATCTACAGCTGAATCTTATCGGGGCGTTTTCTCAAATGAGGTTCCCTCCTTTCAGAAGACTTTGGTTTGTGTCAAGTGAGCATAAAACTAGCCAGCACGAAATGTAATCTAAAACTTCCTTACAAAAAAGCAGAGTCAACTCTAGTTAAAACTTTGCCCCACTCTAACCCAAGCTATCACACAACCCAACTCAGCTTTTCCACAGAGGAAATAATCAGTAGATGTGGCTTTCTGGCCACACAGGAGGACACAGGCTCAGAGATGTAAGTGTTCAAGGGATGAGGATGTAACAACTGCATCCTAGGATTGACCTCTAGCACCACCAGGGAGTAGGTGAGAGGTTTTCAGACTTGTCTCTCTTTACAAGAGACAATAATTAAAGTTATTTTCCCACTACCAATAGTGTGTAAGAGGGCTGGGGTGTGGTTCAATAGTAGAATATTCCGTGTGCAAGGTCCTGGGGTTCAGGCTTAGCAGTGCAAAAAAAAAAGGGATTTTTATTTTGTGTGTGCTAACCTGACCACCCAGTCTGTGCGCTGGGAGGGTCAGTTGTGCAACTGGGGTACCTGTAGCTTGTAAGCAGCTTCAGCAGCAGCTGTGACCCCAACCCCATGAGAAACCCTGTCAGGGTTGCCTCCCAGCAGGTCTGTTGCCTAGCAATCCCCAAAGGTCTACTGGGATGATCTTATCTGTTCCTCTCTCCTCCAGTGTTCCTGCACAGTCTCCTCCTCTCTCTCAAATGCTGTGCACACTTATTTGGAGACACGTCTTTCTTTTGGGACATGGAGAAAACACCACAATGAAAGTCATGGCGCTTGGCTTCCCAGGTACCATGGCATATATACTCAGGAGAATTAGTGACCTGTGGGGACAAGTCTTTACTGGAAACAGAAGGCATGAACAAACTGAATAAGTCAATGCCTTCCTGCATGCTCTTCAGCACTTGAGCAGGAGTCCCATAGGCCACTGACTCTTTTTAACCCATTCTGAAGTGAGAACTGGTGTCAGTACTCCTGGCCCGGCCCAGCCGAACACTGTTCTTGCCTCTACTGGACTTCCTCCATCTCATCTCCCTGAGTTTGTTCCTCCACATAGATCCTTGGTCTCAGTTCTTATTGGTGCCTCTGCTTTCCCAGCTAATGTGCTGGGTGTCCTCTGTGCTCCCCGGGGGTTGTGTTTTACCCTTGGTGCCAAGTACTAATAAGATAAATGTCAGACACCGCTCACTGAAGCCTTTTGACAACCCCCATCATGTTGGCATTGTCACCTTCATCTTGTGATTAAAGAAACTGAGGCTTGGGGAGGTAAAGGCACTAACTAGAGGTCACACAGCAACAGAGCTGGGGACAGTCCCAGCGCAATGCTAAAACCGGTCTGGGCAGCACCCACTGTCTCCTATGTAGGTCATGACCCAGTTTCTTAGTACCCAAGAACTCCATTGTACTCTGTGTGGCTGCCCCAAGGAGGGGTGCCTGCAGGGTTCAGACTTCAGCCTGAAGCCCCTGTTGCAGCCAGTGAGGTCCTAGGAAGGGTGTGTGTGTGTGTGTGTGTGTGTGTGTGTGTGTATGTGTGCGTGCGTGCGTGCAGAAGACTCGGAAAATACGAGGGGAGACGACAAGGCAAAAAGAAAAGACTTACCAGCTCCTTCCTCAGCCATTCCAGGGTCTGCCCAAGATTCGCTGCTGTCTCTTGTGGTATTTCCATCTCAGCGTCCTGGACAGAGTCCTTGGCAATGACTTGGTTACCAGCCTGCAGGACCTTCGGCTTGTACCAGCTTCCTTCAGACTGTCGGCTAAGTCACCAAGAGTGGAATGAATGAGAGTAGAACGCTGTGCTCGTTGGAAAACACAGTTTGTGGTATTTTTTTTTAAAGCTTGAGTGATTTGAAAAAAGCAAGGAAGAAGGGGAGACACCAGGAGTATGGATGTCTTCATGCCTCATGTCCCAGGAGCTTAGAGAATCTGATGCCAACAGGCGTACCAGGACTGTGTGGCTGAGTGAGGCTAGTGATGGTAACAGGCACAACAAGTCCTATTAGGGATTCTTCATGCTTTCTGTGTAAAGTGGGTAGTTTGCAATGTCCTCTGGGTCTGAAACCCCTTCTGTGGTCCCCGTCTCCCACCCCTACCCCCCTCATCTGTGGAGTCCTGATGAAAGGACGCTGACTTTCCACGCCCCTGAACTTCTGGGGTGCTCATGTGCCCAGTTCTCCACCAGGAAAACCACAGCAGAAATGTGTTCTCACACGGGGAAATCTTCACTTTCCTAAAACCAGGAAATGTGACTGCTGCTTCCTCCTTCTGCTTTCTGTCCCTTCCACCTGCCTGAAATGTAGACATGATCCCCGGAGCTACAGTAGTCATCTAGCAGTCATAAGGTGACAGCCAAGAAAAGGAGAGGCTGGAAATCCTCCTTTCACCATGTATGGGGGGAGGGACCACAAGCTTTTCATCTTACAACAGCCATGTAAGAAACATCTTGGGAAAGAACACCAGGGTCCCAATATTCCTTTCGTATGGCCGACAAACTTTTCCAGTAGGCCTAACATGTTCAAGGATCCCCTACCTGCTATAGAACCTCAGGCTGGAGAGGACTTTACCCATGGGTCTTGGAGGACCCTTACCCACACCATAGCAACCATTTATTTTAACAGAGAAGTTAGTAGGTGGGTGGATAGTGAGTTGCTGCCAGCCACACACCTGCAGGTCTGAGGCTGCTCCACAGGTCTCTGACCATCCTCTGAGATCTCTGGGCATGTGCTCTTGGTAGTGCAAATCTTAGCTTTAAAAAATGTCTGGGGATTCAGCTCAGTGGGTAGTAGAAAGCTTGCTCAGCAGGCACGAAGCCCTGGATTCGATCCCCAAGCACCAGAAATCCCCATAGCATGTGTCTAAACCCAGCAGCTGGGAGGCAGAGGAAGGAGGAGCAGAAGTTTAAGATCATTCTCAGCTTCATGGAGAACTGGAGGCCACTTAGGTTATTTGAGACCCTGTCTCAATAAAAGAACAGGAGAGTACAGGAAGTTCCTTGAAGACCTAAGCTCGGAGCTGGCACATTGCCACTCTGCTCACAGCTTTGGGCAAGGTGAGCTACACAACCAAGTCCAAGCTGAGAGCGAAGATGTACGCCCACCTACAAAGAGATCTCGGGGAAACACTGTGCTGCAGAGTGGAAAAGAACAGGACAGTCGGCTTAGAAGGGCCCTGAAGAAGATGGTGGGAAGAAACCATGAGGTGGGAGGAGCTAGAGGCAGGAAGTACAGTGGTGTGGTAGCAGTGGGAGACACGGGAGGTGACCTCAGGTGAGACTACAACCATTTATTGGTGTTCTGTTCTGGGTCCTTGACAAACATAGGCAGCCTTGCTCCATTTTTAAATCTGTATAGACAGCAGACCCTAAACTGTATGCCAAGGCATCCCCCAAAACTGCAGAAAACTCATATAGTGCAGAACACTTAAAAGCTTGGGGGAGGCGCAATGTTGTCTATAAGATACTGTGCAGACAGTCATTATTAAACACTTGAATCTGACTGTGTAATAAATCATGGTTGGGCATTTCTACGGGCCTGGTTCAGCGAAAAAGTCCTTAATGTGCTAAGACCCAACTGAGAAAGCATGAGAGCCTCTGCCTGTACGCTTAGCATCACCACTTGTATTTTAAAAGTTTATTATTTTGTTTTGTGTGTATGAGATATTTTCCTGCATATATGTCTATCCATCACTTGCAGATAGCACCCATGTGGGCTCTAAGATGGCTTGAGAGCCTTTGGAACTAGAGTTTTAGAGGTGGTAAGGCATCGTGTAGGTGCTGGGAATAGAACTCATGTCCTCTGGAAGAGCAGCTTGTGCTTCAACCACCAAGCCATTTCTCTAGCTCCTGTTATTTGCATTTATATATATATTAAATACATGTTAGTATATATTATATATACATTATTAATATGTTGTGATAGATCAGTCATTAATCTGAGTGCTGTATAAGGTTTCTGACTACCCCCAATACCACCACCAGGTAAGAAAGCCCAAGCTGTCCACACTGAGGGTCTGTGTGGAAGAGAATGGAAACCCCTGGATGTCAGTGAGAACCAAATCACAGATACACAGTGAAGTCTGACTGTTTAAGCAAGGTCCCGGATCTCTGTGCCATCCGGCTGACACCACACAGAACACAATGGAACTGTGTCGTGCCACATAACCATAAGCTAGTAAGTTTTGAGGTAGTTGGTAACGCAGCAGGAGAAAAATCAAACACCTATGTATCCTATCACCTCTCCACTCCTCTGGAAAGCTCTGGACCACCAGGTGGTGCTCTAATGTTCTCTAGAAGGCCCTCACTCTGTTCCACAAATCACATCACACAGAATCATAGCTAATTTATTGACCATTAACTGCTCATATGTCAACATGGCCACAAAGACTGCCCATGTGACCTGTCTTCTTGATCGTGTCTCTTTTGCATAGAAGGAGTGAAAACTTTTCTCCATGTAAATCTGCGCACATCATTCCCAGGTTCTCCCCACTGTCAGAAGTCACTAGGCCACACTCACATTAGCCTGCTCAGGAAGATGTTGGACAGGGACCCCTGTGCCTTCCTGTGAGTGGAAATCCTTGCTGTGTCTGGCAGGGAAGTACTTCTTAGGTGCAATATAGAATCCTTGAGGGTGGACGCAAGTCCACTCTTGGCTTAAAGGCTTCACATCCCTTAAGGCCTGTCTCCAGGTATATAATCCCCAAGTTCAGGAAGCCCAAAGTATAACTTCCCATTAGGTAGTTACAGTTTTTACCAGCTGTTGTTGAAAATGATAATTAATTAATTAACTAACTCACTCATTAGACAAGGTTTTTCTATCCTGCTGCCGCAGCATCCCAAAGCGCTAGAATTATAGCTGTGTGCTCCCATGCCCGGTAACAACTTTAACTTTTTTAGATTTATAAAAGGGGAGGTAGATAGTACAGAGTTCCCATGGATCTCACCCAAAGTGTCACTAAATTAGAGTTTTGTGTGAGTTTCAGTTTAAGGACCAATCCGAGATGCTAGCATTATAAAGTCCATACTTTCTCCAATCTCCCTGTTCTGATGCTAACCCTTTCCTACCCCAGGACGCATGCATATAGTTACTACTTCCCCTTTAAGCTCCTCTGGACTGTGGAAGTTTCTCAGATTGCCCTTGTTTGGGGGCAGCTTCCACAGTTTGGAGGAGAATTGCTCAAGCATCTCATAGCATGTCCCTTAGTCAGGGCTTGGGATTCATGCGATGTCATGATTTGATTGAGGTTGTGAGTTGTGAGGCCACAAAGGTAAAAGGACAATTAAAAAGGTTAATTGTGGGCTTGGAGGGATGGCTCAGCTGTTAAAGGCTAGGCTCACAACTAAAAATATAAAAATCTTAATTGTGATGGAGTTCTTTTTTTTTCCCCAAATATTTGTGTGTGTGTTTTGCCTGCATGGGTGTATGTGTACTGTGTACATGCAGTGTTTGGTGCCTGAGGAAAACAGAAGGGGACATCTGATCCCTCTGGAACTGGGATTATAATCAGTTGTGGCCACCATGTTGGTGATGGGAACCCAACCTGGGTCCTCTGGAAGAGTAGAAAGCGCTCTTAACCACTGAGCCATCATTCCAGCCCTGCCATCTTTTAAGGAGGGCCTATCAAAATATCTGAGGCAAACCTTAAACTCATAGCAATCCTCCCGACTTAGTCCTCAGTCCTCTGAGTACTACACTACAGGTGTGCACCAGCATGTCCAGCTAAAGTATCTTTTGCTTGGCCTCATCACAAGGGTACACACTGGTACCATAATCTGACGGTTAATGTGGACATGGTCATCTGGCTGGGGTAAGTGCACCAGTTTCTCAGGTACTTAGACATCTCCACACACACTCTTGGAAAGGCTACTATCAGATGCAGTCAGCACCTCAGGATGGGCATTATGCTCCATGCTTTGAGGACTGTGGGGCACACAGCTGAAATACTGTGGTGGTTTATCTTTTCATTGATTCATTCAGCTGCTTCTATCAGGATGGAATTGGGAATATTTATGTCATACTTTCAGCTACAACCCAGTATTACTATATTATTTTGTTGCTTAAGTTTTTCTTCCAGCATTGTCTGGGAACACTTTAAGTTGACTTGTGTCTTTCGGTATGATCACATCAGTGTGTGTGATTGTGTGCATGCGTGTGTAGTTGTGTTTTTTTCTTTGCTTTTTGTGGGAGTGTTAAGACAAGGTTTCTCCATGTAGCCCTGGCTGTCTGAGAACTTAATCTGTAGACCAGACTGGCCTCAGACTCAGAGATCTTGCTTCTGAGTGCTGGGATTAAAGGCATGTGCCATCACCCTTGGTCGATTTTTTCTTTTTAATTAAACACTTTAAAGGATTTATTTTTCTTTCTTTATGTGTATGGGTGTCTTACCTGCATGCATATCCATGTACCACATGCATGCTCGGTTCCTATGGAAGCCAGAAACAGGTCCTGAATCCCGGGGAACTGGAATTATAGATGGCTGTTTGTTGGCTGCCATGTGGGTACTGGGAATCAAAACTGTGTCCTCTGGAAGCATCCAATGCTCTTAACTGCTGAGCCATCTCTCCAGCCCTATGCATAGTATTTCTTTATTTTTCTGGTTCATCTTGTTTATTTTCTGCCTCATTTCTCCAAGGAGCCCTGGCTTCTTTTACTGAAGAATGGTATTAGGAACCAAGATCTCAGGCTTAGCTAGTAAGGTGCTTGCTGCCAAACCTGATAACCTGAATTAGATACTAGGGATCCACATGGTGGAAGAAGAGAATTGACTCCTGTAGGTACACAGACATACACACGCATGCACACACGCATGCACACACAAGACACCAAGATCGCTACACTGGGTGAGCTCTTTGCTATGGAATATGATTGTTTCTAGCAAATAAATACATATGTGTTTGAACCCATGCATATGTGCGTGTTTTTGTAAATACTTTAAAGCAGATCTTGCCTCAAGTTTATTTGTGAAACAGCACTGGAACTAACCACCTGCAAACAGTGCGTGGGAGTGTCCGTCCCATGAGTTCATCTGTCTTCACATTAGCAGAGAGAAGCCTTCACACCTTTGAGAGCCTGAACTGGAGCTGCAGCTTCAGCCTTGGTTTGAACTTAGGCTATACTTGGCATAGCCTGCAACCCTTGGCCATGTAGCCCGGAATCTGCTTCCCAGGCTTGGGGGAAGTGATGAAAGCAAGGCAGTTGAGTTTGGAGTTGGGGCTTTGGTATCTTGGGCTTAACTGGTTGCCTTAGGCTTCCCAAGGGCCTTGATAGCCTCTGCATGTGAGCGCTTTGCCTTTGCATCGCTTGCCTGCATCTTCTTCAGGCCTTTCTTGTGCTTCTTGGCAAAGCAAATGTTCGGCAGGAATATTTGGAGTTGGCCCCCTTAAGAAATTTGTATCTTTGTGACCGGGGTTTCTTGATGCCTTTTCTGTGCCGTTTTTGGAATTGGCTGTGTGTGGTATGGTTTCTGGACTTTGCGATGTCTGCATGGTAACCATGGTCCAGAAGTGCCTAGGACTTCTCTGTAAACAGTTATATACGTAATCACTCACCTCTAAATTGTGCTGAACGTGAGTTCATTTGGTATCTCCTACTCTCATTCATGCTAGTTCCCTCCCCAGGAGTCATATTTATCTAAAGAGTGTTGCTCAGTAACTTGTCATATATGTCTCTGTTTCCGAAAACAAACAAAACAAAACAAAAACACCGAAAAAAATCTGAGTTTAACAAGTAACTAAAAGTCAAATTCACATGTAAAAGGGGAAGGGCATGGTGGCTAGCTTTCTGTCCAGTCTCTTCTATGTGCTCCCGACTGTTCTGAGAACAAAGAACAAATTTTTCGGCCTCGAAGGCTTTGCTGAGTCCTGGCTCTTGTCTAGCACAGCCCCATCTCCTACCATGTTCCTACCTGGGTCTCCCACTGTGACCATGCCCCTTCCTTCCTATGCTCCCTGCCCTCCCTTTCACCCACCCCAGGGTGTCTGCCCACACTAGTTCTCTGCTGCATCTCTCTTCCCTGCTCTTTATCCAGTTGTCATCTATAACCTGCCCATCTTGACTCAGTCCTCACTTCTGCTGGAAAGCTGTCCCATCCCCAAGACTGGGCCAGCATCCTGCCTGAGACACGTAGAGCACATTGTATCTGCTCGGCAGCCCTTACTCAGCTGCAGTGTGACCTGTTGGTATCCCTTTCTTCTGGAATCCCACGGGAATTTCTTAAAGACAGGGATGGGCTCTGCCTAGTTGCTAGTATACAACAGGAGTTCCAAAACTGAGAAGTCTGCATGTCTCAATCTTTATTCAAAGAGAATTTATAGAGAACCTCCTAGGTGTTGGCTCCTTTCAAAGTCTCTGGAGTCACCAGGGAGAGAAGCAGACAAAGCCTCTACTATACTCTGTTTGTTTGGTTGGTGTTTTGGTTTTGGAGACAGTGTTTCTCTGTGTAACCCTGGCTGTCTTGGAATGCCCTCTGTAGACCAAACTGGCCACAATAGCAGAGATCCACCTGTCTCTACCTTCTGGGTACTGGGATTAAAGGCATGCACCACATCTACTCTTTATAGGATGGCCTGGGCAGGTGCCCCTGAGAAGGTGACGTGTGAGCAAAGACTTGAGTGAAGTGAGGGAGCAGAGTGACCTCTGAGGACACGCTGTGAGGCAGGACGGCACAGGACAGGGGAGGGATTACGGCCCGCTAATGGCTGGGATCTCGTGGCATTGCATAAATCCTGAGTCTGTTTACAGGACGGAAGACTTGAGCTTCAAGAGGGATCTTTGCACCATGTCATATACCCGTGAGCGGTGGAAATGGGACTGCACAGGACCTGGGGCCAGGGCCAGCTTCCCTGTAAAAATCCTAACAGGCCAGGCCTCCGGAATGATGGGGGAGACGGGCCTGTTCAGCTCTGGTGGCTCAGCACAGGACCTGGCAGTGTTGGCCCACAAGACTTCCAAGACAATCTTTGCACTCCCGGTGGGTGAGGACTAAATGCCTTTGGAGGAGGACCCATGAGCCTTTGCCAATGAGACAGCTAAGGAGTCAGGGCAGGGCTTTCTCACCTTCTCTTATCTTCTGGATGGCATCTGATCACACAGGTGGAGTCCTAGTTATATGGTCATGATTCCCTTGGACAAAGGTGGACACTGATGTTCAGAGAGATGGTAAGACCTATGTGAGCTAGCCATCAAGTCTTCCCAGAAATCATAACCTTACGTTCCTTACAGTAAGTCCCCTTTCTGGGCTTGGCCTGGGCTCCCAAGCAAAAGAAGTTCCCCTTAAAACAGAAACCTGTATAGGGGGCGGTCCAGGGCAAGGGAGTGGCCAGATGCAGGAACCCCTCAGGGTGAGGGTGTGTGTGTGTGTGTGTGTGTGTGTGTGTGTGTGTAAGCCTGACAGGCTGACCGCGAAGGGGCCGTGTAGGTGGCTTTGGAGGGTAAAGGTGTGCGTGGCCATGGACAATACCCCAGGAAGACACCCATCAGAAACGGAGGTGGGCAGAGGCTTCGTTTCAGCCTTCACGTGGCGCCCGTGAGCCATCGAGTCTCACGGAGTGATGAGAAGCTGGACCTGCAGGCCTTGAAGAGGATCCTGGGTTTTACCTGGGGTGGGAAAGGCATCCCCGGGTGCAGCGGGGTCTCCCCAGTGGCGGGGGAGGGGTCTTCTCCTCCGCCTCTCCAACGCCTCGCCCCGCCCCGCCCCTGCGCCCAGCGCCGCGGGCTCTTAGCCTCAGGTTTCCCTCGCCAGCGCGTGCGGGCTAGACAGAGGTGGCCCTAGGGACGGCAGGGGCCGGGCACCAGCAGCCACCTCCCTCTCCCTCCCCACGCTAACTCTCCGGGCGCCCTCGCCCGCCGCGGGCGGAGCTGGAACGGCGGCGCTCCATGATCCCCGCTCCCACCCTGCCCTGTCCCTTCCTCCTCGGAGCCCCCCAGCGGCCGACGCGGTGCAGCCCTGCCCGGAGCTAGCAGGTACGTGCGCCCGGGCAGCCGCTGCGGGCGGGCAGGGAAAGGGGGCGGGAGCCGGGGAGGGCGAGGCGGCGACCGGGCCGAGATCCGCGCACACCCTCGGCCGCCGGGAGCCCTGTGATCCCGCGTGCGGAGACTGGGAGGCCCGGCACGGCTCCGCACGCCAACCGCGAGCCGCCGGCGCAGGGCCCGAGGCGGGGAGTGGCAGCAGCGAAGGACAGCTCTCCTGACCTCGCGGCCGGTCGAAGGACACGCGACCCGGGCACACTAGCGCACACCGGCCCAGCCGAGCTCAGGCTCCCTGGACCATCCCGCTGCAATCGCTGACCGGCCGGGTTCGGCCTGGTCTGGCCGGTGCCGTTGGTGGTCAAGGGCAGGAGCAGGGGGTGTGAACTGCGGGCCGGCGGGCGCGGGGGAGGCGGGAGGCCGGGGCTCTGGGGCTTTCCGCGCGGAACTTTGGGTATAACAGCGTGGACCTGCGTGTGTGCATCTGCGCGCCCGAGGCTTTGTGTACTACGAGTGCGTGTGTCTATCGATTGGGTTTGCGAAGCTTCACCCAGCCTCGCAGTGTGTCGAGCTCCCGGGTGGGTGTCAGCGTGCGCCATGGGTGGGGGTGCTGGACTCGGGCAGGTCTGGGTGGATCCGGCTTAGATCTTAGCAGTGCTAGAGGTAGCCTTTATTTCCTTTCTCTCTGTCTCCTTCTCTCTCTCATCCTTCCCTATCTCCCTCAATTTTACCCTCTTGTGGGTACCACCAGAGTGACCCGTGGATCTGTGAGTCACACTTATTTCCCGGGTTTGTGGGTATTGCTGTGGGAACAGTCCCGAAGGCTGTGAGTGTGGAACGGGAACGGGAGTGGGGGGTTCGGGAGTGCTTGCCTTTTAGGAACTATAGGACAGCAGATACAATTACTGGGGCTGTTTTGGGTTTGATCCGTGGGCACCAACATCTGTGTGACTCTGCTTATGTCTGGGTAATTGATGAGCATGCCCTTGAGTAACTTACCAAGTGTCTAAAGACTAAACAGACATTCTAAAGCTATCAGAGAGACGACCTCCTTGTGTCTGCTCCTTCACCCAGGCATCCTAAGGAAAAAGTTTTGGGTAAAAGAGAGTCTTGCTCTAAGAATTTGGGTGCCCCCAGCTATCTTCTTGGATATGGAGGCTCTAATGTACCAGTCTAGGATAGGGGTTACGGGACACTCCCAAGTTCTTCAGGCCTGCTGAGGGCTTGATAGGTGGGGGCCACAAATGGCACCTACTTTCAGGGTCTTAGCTTTTAGTACCAAGAGCAAAAAGTCAACCAGCACCTCCCTCCTTCCTATTTCTCCTCTGTGAACTGAGAGGAGACTGAGCAGGAGACGGGAACCCAGTGAGATTCAGAGGGATCTCTGCCCTTAGGATGTCCAAGGTTGATGTCTCAAGTGAGGGCTGAAAGAGCCAGGGATGGAAGGTGGAACATGTGGGTTTGCAAGTGTTTAGGGAATAGAGATTATTGGGGTGCCCATTTTCAACTTTTAGTCCCTAGTCCCCATACATACTGTGAGGTCTTGCTCTCCTTTTCTAAGATGGTGATAGAGCTGAGCTATTCCTGAGTGAGGGGCTAAGGTGAGAGTCTAACAGGCAGTCGAAGCTCAGCAAGCGTGTATTAAACAGACACGCAGAGGAGGGACGCAGCCATGGAAAGGAGTTGTAAGCAGGACCAGCCTTTGAACTGAGATGAAAGACCATATGCTTGCTAAGAGAACAAGTCCACATGGGAAGGTCAGAGAGACTCGCATTCAACCCCTTGGAGTTTTGCTCATTTATTCCTCTCATTTACCATCGCTTTATGTATTTGCTCCCGTTTGCACAGAAACACGGGCGCCCACAGAGCACTGGAGAATGACCTGAGAACACAGAGAACCAGCGTTCAGGTGTGTAAACACATCGACACAAGAGTCACTCCAGGCCTAGGGTCTCTGTTACCTGGGCATTTAGTGCTTGGGCTGTGGATGTATGTGCCCGAAGGACGTCAGTGTATGTATGGGACATTGTGCGTCTGCTGTGAGATCAGAAGTGGCACACCGGGGAGGTGTGCCTGTGGAGAAGAGTACAACCCGTCCGGTTACCAATGCCAGGTGTATGTTGTGAGGGGATGGTGGCCCAAGGCAGTCAGATTCGCAGGAGAAGGTGGGAATGAGAGCCTGTTGCGTCCGCATGGCTCTAAGGATTGGCCTGATTGGGGCAGTAAGGGAAAGGAGAAAAGACAGACACATGGGCATGCAGAAACTCTGGGATCAGGTGGTCTGGGCTCTATAGTGAGAAGCCATAGCAACCCTGATCAGCAGGTTTATTATATGCAGCTGAACAGGGAGGCAGGGTTATTGTATATGGCTAAAGCAAGAGGCAGGGATATTACAGATAGACAAGAGGGCAGGGTTCTGATCAAGTTTAGCTAACTTGGTAGGGGCAGTCTCTGAAGGGGAAGTCACCAGGCCATAGACTTGTGGGGGACGGAGAGGCTAAAGCAGACACTTTCTGCACACACTATATTTGCATTTGGACCTGGGGAAGGCTTTGCTCTCCCTCTGAGCCTCATGTGGGGAAGGCTTTGCCACTTCTGTGGAACCAGTCCTTGAGATGGCCGTGCCCATGCCAACAGTACCTTCTCTGAGAACTTCACCTGCTTCCTACAGGAACTCGAAGCTTAAGAGGTGAAATCTTTGTGGTTTTTTTTTTTTTTTTAAATATCTTGGCAACTAATGCACCAAAACTCACTGACTAGAATCGGGAGTGAAATAAACAGAACTCCAGCGAGCTCAGTCCAGCCCGTGGCTGTAGGTTGGTGGCCTTTTGGCACAAGAGCATGTGTGCACTGAGTCTGTCTGGTATGTGTCCAGGGATTTGGTAGTGTTTCCTCTTTGCCCCCACCCCCAGTCCCTGCCTGCTTACACAGAGGTGTTTGGCTTTGAGCTCAGTTAAGGTTTTCCATTCTCCAGCTTCCTCTAAATTCCTCCATCATGAAGACACCCATTATTAATACTTACCAGGTACTCTACCAAACACTTTACACGTGGGCTACTGCAGCCTCTCCGTTAGCGCAGTGCAGGAGGGAGTAGTATCAGTATTGTCACTGGGAAATTTTTTTTCAATGAGAAAACTGAGGCCTGCAGAGGCTAATTGCACCCGCCACTGTGGAGTGGTGCCCTAGCACGGGCCACAATCGCTCTGCTGTCCTTAGCTCCCCACAGTTGTGCCGGGGACAAGTGGGATACTGAGCTTCAGCAGGCAATTTCAACTGGCATTATGTTTTCTCTTCTAGCTGCCAAGGGGCCAAGGCATGAGCTGGGGTCGTTCTTCCCAATGGCATCTCCCCCTGGTCTGGAACTGAAGACATTGAGCAATGGTCCCCAGGTTCCAAGGAGACCAGCCCCACTGGGCCCAGTGGCGCCATCCAGGATGGGTGTGGAGAATGCCTGCTTCTTCTCTGAGGAGCATGAGACTCATTTCCAGAACTCTGGGGATGCCAGACTGGGTAGCTCCCCCAGTCCCCCTGGAGGTGTCCCCTCACTGCCCCGGTCCCAGCGGGATGATCTTTCTTTGCATTCAGAGGAAGGGCCAGGCCTGGAACCTGTGAGCCGCCCAGTGGACTATGGCTTTGTTTCTGCTCTGGTTTTCTTGGTGAGCGGAATCCTCCTGGTGGTAACAGCATATGCCATCCCTCGAGAGGCCCGAGTCAACCCTGACACAGTGACAGCAAGGGAGATGGAGCGCCTGGAGATGTACTACGCCCGCTTGGGCTCGCATCTGGACAAGTGCATCATCGCGGGCCTGGGGCTGCTCACAGTGGGTGGCATGCTTCTGTCTGTGTTGCTCATGGTCTCTTTGTGCAAGGGTGAGCTGTACCGCAGGCAGACCTTTGTCCCTGGCAGGGGATCCAGGAAGACCTATGGCTCCATCAACCTGCGTATGAGGCAGCTTGCTGGGGATGGGGGCCAGGTCCTAGTGGAGAATGAGGTTGTCCAAGTCTCAGAGACCAGCTATACCACACAGGGCTCTTAAGTAAGAGTCCACCCTATCTTGCTGCTTTAGCTGAAGAGCTTCGAAGTCCCGCAAAACTTGGGGTTTCAAAGTGAGATCCACAGAGGGCCCTGTGGAGGGAGTTTTGGTGCTGGGGTGGGAGCAGCCTGGGTTCTGGCTTAGGCCCTACTCAGGCAAGCACTGCTGATGTGTTTTGCAGCTTGAAGTTTTTGCATAAGGCTTTGTTTGGAGGATGGCTTCTGCTGCTAAAAATACATTTTTGGAAACCACTGCTCTTAGAAGATGAGGTTGCTTGGCATTTCTCAGGGTTGGGACTCATGCGAAAGGGTGACCCCTGTTCCTCATGCCTTGGGAATTCTGAGACCCCATTGTCTTCACTAGCCAATTGAGAGTGTTGGGTGATCATCTGGAATAGAGCGTGGCTTCATGGTGATGGGAGAAGTCGGTTCTGAGTTGACCCCCTGCAGTACCCAACTGACTGAACCATAACCCTTCCCTCTCCAGGCCTCGGTTGCTCAGTCTCTATAGTGAGGAGTGGGACTGGGTGCGCCACCATGAGCCACATCTGCCCTGGGAAGAGGAAGCCAGTCTGCCTCTGGCCAACCTACAAAGAGGGATGAAGGTTTTTGACAGGGACTGACCATTGTCAGTGCCACCTTCTGGCCTGCATTGGTGACTCCCAGTGCCAGGAGCAGTGGTTCTCATGGTCCTGCTACAGAGCCTGGGTGAATGGGTTTGGTTCAATCCAGAATTTGACCCAGTGTGAATTGGTCTTGGAATTTGGTTTCCTATGGTGGCTAATTTTCTGCAGTGGTTCCTTTCAAAAGCGCACTGGGCACCTAGGTGTGAGGACTTGGTTGTATTTCTGTGGGCATGTTGGGGGTTTATCACCTCCCCCTCCCCCTTAGTGAGCTGTTACTTAGGCCTGATCTCATCCTGGTAGCAGAAAACAGTTTTCCTTAATGCTGAATTAGTAATGTCTGCCTTTCCTTCTCAGTGAATTTCAGTTGCCAGTCATCTGGGGACATATAAGGTACACTTAAGTGGCCTGGAGACTCCAGCCACATGGATCGCTGTTGGCATTCTGTCTTCAGTGAAGTATTTCCGGGATCCCTCCAAACTTTATTTAAACTTTTGACAATGGAAGTAGGCATTAGGGGACAAGGAGATGGTGGCAGACATTTGGGGAGCACTGTCCAGGCCAAAAGGCCCCAGAGGACTTCCAGAGCACATACTGTCTAGGCTATGGGAAGACTCTAAAAGGGTCATTTCCCTGAGCCCCCTGCTCCAGGCAGGTCCCTCGCCCTCCATCTTAGCTGCCTGTATAAGCTGAGATCCTAGCTGTTGGTGGGGGTAAGAATCCGGGGTGGCACAGGCTCTGTAGGCTGGAGCGGTCCTGACTGTGTGGAACATGAGCCTTCAGCTCAGGCAGCTTGAACATCTGGGCAGTATAATATCACAGCTTCTGAGACAGATCAAATGTCTGCTCATTGGCTTTTTTTGCCTAGAGCAGAGAGCTGGGGGAGGACTGAGGGGGACAAAATTGTGCAGCTTGGCTTTGGAGGTTCTGCTAGTGTGGCTGAACTAGGACAAAGGTCACGAGAGCAAAAGGTCCCGATTCCAGGGCTTCTTCATATATGTTGATTTTTCCCCTGATAGAGCAGGGAAATACTGTACAAGGTGGCAGGAACCATGCTAGATGAATCACAGTGAGGTAGGACTTTGCCAGTGATGGGCCCCAGCTTCCCCAACCGTGATGGTAATAAATGTATCAATTGGAGCAGTTTGGATTCTGGTGGCAGTAGGGAGGCATGCTAGGCTACAGTTCCTACTGAGAGTCTCTGCCTACCACTATCCATTTGGGTCAGTTTAAGCACAATGAAATGTACTTAGGGGCTCAATCTGCTGGAAAATATAGGAATGGCAGATTTTTTTTTCCCAAGCCAGCGGAACCTGCTTTGCATTCCGATGGGAAATTTCTTTAGAAACCACATGCAAATGGATCAAGACAGGCATTACCTCGTCCGTGAATTAAGACGATTTGAGAGGTGCTGACAGTATTTCCCCAAGATGCAGCCGAGATCTCACAGCCCATGGACCGAGGCTTAGGAAGGAGCCAGGGAAGGATGAGGAGTGCTGAGAACCTTCTGTGGGTCTCTTTGGGATTAGATGTGGAGTTGTCTCTGTGGCCACTGGAACATGCCTGCCTCCCTTCTAAGAACTGCCTCTGCCACCCCATTAGGTTCCCAATATTGCTTTCCTCATTGTATCTGAGTAGACAGAGCTTTCAGAACTGGTAAGATCTGGGTTTGAATATGAGCTCTGCCACTTACTGGCTGTGTGAGCTTGGGCAAGTTACCCCACCTCTCTGTTTAAGTGGGCTAACTGGGTCATACCACATTCCTAGGGTGAGAAACATGGTTGGCATATGTAGTAGGTGTTCATGTTTGAATGAGAGGATGAAACAAAAACATCCTATTCCTGACAGGGCAGGCAGTGCCCTGTGCAATGTCCTGGAGCCCCACAGTACCTGCCCAGCTCCCTGGAGCCTTGCTGGAATACTGTCTTAGGGTCAGAAGATCCCATGACTACCAGTGTGGGCATGGCTTGTCAGTGGGTCTGCAGCTGGAACGTCCTCTCTGGGCCTTGGTTTAGCTTTGTTTCAGGGGTTTCCCTGAGGGAGAAAGGTTCTCTTCCTGGCCCTGGTATGACATAATCCAGTGATATCTGGACCCAGGAGACACTTGCTGAGGCAGAGGAATCTGTGATCCTGACTCTTGCTCATCTGAGGCCCAGGCCTGTCATCACCATCTCCGCTTCCTTACAGGTACTGTCTGAGTCTCCCAGCCAACAGGGGTTGCTGGCTGATTCGACCACCATTGTTCCTTTTCTTGGGAATAGCATCACCTTCCTAGGGATTTTCTTTCAAATGTCCTCCTCCCTGCATACACAGTTCTGTGCACGAGGACACACACACACACACACACACACACACTCACACACACACTGCACCCTGTCTATACCTCTGCAGCTTTCTCATTTGACCTTGCTTGGGAGCCAAGGACTCAGCCTCTGGCTGCAGAGCTCTAAACCTCTAGAAGCTGATGATGGTTTCTTCCTCTGTCTGCCACAGACCCCATGGTTTTAAGCTCGCCATCCTCCTAACAACAGTCCAGTGTCCTCTTTAGTTCCCCTCCTGTTTCCTTATTGGGAAAAGAAGAGAGTTCTGGGGGATTCCAGAACCCTGGCACTCGGGGAGGGGACTGAGCTGAGAACTGGGGGAACCAGGTCATGCTGGTTACCACAATCCGGTGGATGACAGCAAGCACGGGGCAGGAAAAGAAGGGCAAGAAGCCAGAGGTGAGGTTACATTATAAGTAGGATGTCAGCGGTATGGACATTGGTGGGGAGATGTCTCCCATTTAGTTTGTTGGTTTTCTCTCTAATTTCTCCAGGGTTAGATTGATCTGAGAGGGAAGCTTGCTGGAGTCTTTGCTGAACTGGAGTGGCAGGGAGTGCCCATCAGTGGAGAAAGCTTGCTGGGGCCATAGCTGAACCAGAGTGGCAGGGAGTGCCCATCAGTGGAGGTATGTTAACATTGCCAGGAGTTAGGTATCTTCAGACATGGAGCATAATGGAATTAGTTGGATTTAGCTGAGATTCCCCTAAGCTTCCAAATTGTTCATTTGAGAAGAACCAGAGTCTTTGGGGCCAGAGCCTGATTTTTGTCCTGCTCTAGCTTCTTGTTCTCGAGCCCGTGTGCATCCTCTTTCCTACATCATTCCCCTTCCTCGTTTGTCCTGAGCAGATGGACAGCAGGACACTTGCGTAGTGCAGAGGGTGGCGCAGTGTTGGAGCATTGCCTGCACATGAATCTCAGAGGGACAGAGGCCGAACCTGAGGGTCTATGGCGGCTGGTTCGTCAGTGTAAAGGATGACTGCTCATGTGCTTGGCAATTGTTAGTGTTCCCTGGCCTGTTTCTTCTGGAAAGCAGCTGTGCTAGTTGCAATGCCTACCCCGTGAGACTATGATGACAGGTAAATGTGTCTTTAAAGCACTTAGCACAGTGCCCTGCATTTTCTAATAGCCCTAATCTGCTATTCATGTTCTCTCATTCATCCATGGTATCCTGCCATGGTTTGACAGATAAGCACAGTCCTGGCTGGGCTGCACCCAGGCTGTCTTGTGCAGGATGGCAAGACTTTGCTGTGATATGGGGTGCAGAGGGAGAGGAGAGAGGGAGAGAGTGGAGGGGAGAGAGAGGAGAAGGAAGAGGAGGAGGAAGAGGAGGAGGAAGATCTGTGTGAGTTGGAGGTTAGGTTGCTTTGGAAAGGGAGTGCTTAATAAGAATCTTAAACAATTAGGAAGTATTGATGTGGAGAATTGGGAGGGTTCCAGGCAGAGAGAAACATGTGATCAGAGGCTTAGGTCTCAGCAGCTAGTGAGATGAAGGAGATAGGGGGTATACAGGTGACTGAGGAGTGAGTAGTGGGACCCCTGGTGGGTGCCTGGGCTTCATCACCTGGAGAAGGGGGACAGGTGCAGGATACCACGAGAAGGCTGCAAGGCATGAATGTGGCATTGTGGTGACAGGGCCTGTCCTCCCTATACTTTCAGATTTTCCTGGAAGGAAGACTTCTATGTCAGATGCACTGTGGGAGCAATACTGTAGCATCCTCCGACCCTCCTTTAGGGTAAGAACTACAGCTAGAGGACATGGCCTTGATTCCATGCCTCAACTTGGCAGCCTTTTCATATTTGACTTCTCAGTCTCCAAGGTCAGGGTGGCGGCTGATGGTCTCCTGGGTCTAAGGAAAAGCAGCAAGTAAGAGGAGACTCACTAATCAGTTCTGGCCCAAGGGAACAAGGACAGGGAAAGGAGGCAGCTGCCATGCCAACCTCTTCCTGGGAGGTGTGGCATCTGGGTCAGTATTGACTCCGGGGCCAATGACATTCACCAAACCTGTCTTCTCTTCTTTCCTCTTTTTCCCTACTTGATTCCTTTGTATACCCACATCTATCATTGAAGCTACTCATGAGTGAGCTGTCACCATTGCTGATCATGATTCTTTCCATCAGAGATTAAGGCAGGAGTCCAAACGCCAGAGTTTTGCAGGTATATCAACGAACACAGTAGTTGGCCATGGCAGTGGTGGCAAGATTAAAGGCAGTGTCTGCTCGGACCCACTCAAGCATTCTTAGTCATTCTTTCAGCAGAGGTTTGAGTAGTTGCTATGTTCCGTTTTAGTTTTAGCATTTAAGAGACGAAAACCCAAGGAGTACTGACAGAGGGACCTATGGAGGCTTGGAGGGATGATGGTGTCAGGGATCAGGAAGAAGGGCAGGTTCTGTCCTCTCAGAGATGTCTGCCTACCTCCAGAAATGGGCTATCCTGGCTTGGAGAGCAGCCAAGCTGAATGTAGAGTTCTCCTCAGGACCAGGGAGGTTGGGTGCTGACCAGGGTGCTGAATTGTCATGGTAATTCCTAACAGGGTAGCTGAGTGAGGAGGAAGGAGAGCTAGTGTGTTCTTTTTACTAAGGACCCCTGTGACTGTTTTGGTCCACACTGAGCAGGGAAAGCTTGGATGTGAAGACAAAATTTCTGTGGTTTGTGTGGCCCTGGGGAAATCTTTCTCATGCACCTGCTGTTTCCTTTGATTGGCTTTTTCCTTTGTTTAGTGCAGAGTAGCTTCCATCCTACCAACCCCAGAGGGCCAAGGAGAGCAGCAGCAGCTGGGATCTAGTGGAAAGATCCAGCACAGAGCCCAAGCCCAGCTTTGGGGCCTAGAGGAGCCCCTTAACTCACCCTCAGAGGGGTTTAACGGGGTTATCTCCTGCAGAGTGGAGGTGGTGTCACATGGTATCAGATGCCCCTTCTAACCTGGGTGCTGCTAGTGAGGTAGCTGTTGAGTGCTCAGGAACACGTACGCCCAGCCATCAGGCTCAGTTTCGGAGTCTACGTCCATCCCTGGGATTACGCATAACTTCTCCTTTCTCAGATAGCTCCTCTTTCCCAGATCCTGGGATGGGTTTTGCCTGTGGGTTATGGCCAGGTGAGATTTGGTTCTACTGAAAAGAACTTAGGAGTTTTAGAATCAGGCTGGTTTAGTTCTGCCACCCCTCAGGGCTGTGTCCAATACCTTGACTAACGCCTCCAGTCTTCATCTCGGGTTGTAGCAAGTACAGTCTGGGATAAGAAGCTGCGCATACTATGGGCAGTAGATAAACACGTGTCTCCTCACTGGTTTGGCCCAGAGTTCCTCTCCTTTGTGTCTGAGCTCCGTTCTCACTTACCCATATGCCTTTAGTAATGACAGCTGCCGACACCCACTGGACCCCCACTCCCTTTAATAAGACACATTTAGTGGTACTTCCCAGCAATCTGCAGGCAGGTGTAACACCCATTTCACATATGAGGAAGGCTGTTACCAGTCATGTGCTGGAGTCATTCCCACACTTGGTTTCTGTCAACCTAGCAGACCTTTCTAACCCTCTCTGCTTTAGAAGTGAGGCTCAATGACTAATGACCTCAGGGTGGCTATCTCATAAGGGCACCCATTTATTTAAAGACGTTTATGAAATATGCTTGAATGAGCCATTGGGTTAAGGGAATGGAGTGGCTACTAGGGGTACAACCAGGTAAAATGTAAATATGCATGCATTAATTATGTATGCCATCAGCCGAGACTGGCTGACTTAGTTCTCTGTTCCCGATATCCAGGTGAAGGTAAAGGGCTATCTGTTCACTTGAACAACCCAATTCAGTGTACACATGGAATGCAGGGAACTTGTCAAAAGGCAAGTTCACTGGGGCTAGAGAGATGGCTCAATGGTTAAGAACAGTGGCTGTTCTTCCAGAGGACCTGGGTTCAATTCGCAGCATCCGCATGACAGCTCACAACTATCAGTAACTCCAATTCCAGGGGTTCTGATGGCATTTTTGGCCCATGTGTGCACCAGATATGCAACCAGTGCACATACATACATGCACGCAAAACACCCATATATACAAAAAGAATTAAAATTCAAGTTCACATATAGTAAGTCTGAGGCGGCTCCAAGAGTGTTCATTTTTATCAAGACTCCAGGGAGCACTGCTGTTGGTGCTATGTGGAAAGACTTCCTTTTGCAGTTCTCCAACCTGCATGATTCACAAGTTACAACGGGCCCTTGCCAACAAGGGACTTGAAGGCCTTTCCTGAGAGCTGTGGATTGGGGCTCAGGATGTACTGTCGACATACAACAAGCATTTAGGAGACAGGAGGCTGTGGCAAGCAAGTGTGGTACCCATCTACATCATAGGACACAATCACAAAAGGCTCAGCAGACCTGTGCCAATGCCCCTTCCCAATGGCTGAGATGGGGACGAGCATAAGGGCATTCCTGGACCTCTTGCTGCTAGTCTGAGAGGTGATGCAGGTTATCACACCCAGGTGTACTCAGTCCACTGAGGCTTGAGCTTGGAACTGAGCTGAGTGGGCACAAGGTGACAGTGAAAGACATTCACTTTCTGAGGCAGATCTGGGCAGCTGCTGTCTTACAGTTCCCACTTCTCAGACCATGGTGACGAGCTAACTGGCCCTTAGGTTAAATGAGTATTTACTGCACTGAACTTCCAGACTGGCCCGTCCCATTCAGTTGTCCCTGTAAACCATTACACTGTGAATTTCCCAGCACTTGCTTTATGTAGCTCATAACCACTGTCACGGTTCAGTGGTGACCCAGGTCCTTTACTGTGAGTAGGAGATGGGCCTTTCACTGCCACAAGCACTGCCTTAGTGAGGTGCTCAGACTGACTGATGCGTCCTAGGATCCGTCCAGTGATCAGGGCCTTGCTGGTTCTTACTGCCCATACCCTCACTCTTGGCCACACTTTCCTTTTGACCTGTTCTCGGGAGCAAATTCTGGGTCAAGCCCAGCTGAAGTGATTGAGAATGTGGCATTCCAAGGGCAAATAAGGCCTAGGCCTGGTGGCCAGGTGCCTGCCGTGAGCATCTAGAGATGCACAATGATCAGCGAGCAAATGTCACTGACAGGTAAAGCTGGGACTATGCCTGCTGGTGGAACCTGTCTTTGCTAGAACTTTACCAAGTGTACAAGATCAGGTGGTAAGAGAGTATGAAGGGATCCATGGATTTGTTTTCCCTCTGTGATGACAGCCATGGAGCAATGACAAGAGAAATCACGAGAAAGCTAGGTTCCAGAGAGAGGTTGTACAGACTTGTTACCTGTGTTTCACCTGTGTGTCACTAGGTGCTAACTCTAGCACAGGAATGCAGCCCCATTTAGTACTTGATACATTCCTGGGGTCAGGGTCTTAGGAGACTCATGCCTTAGACTGGAGGTTAGCTGAAGCTCATGACTAAGGAGATAAATGTAATGCAAAACCTAGCCAGCTCTAAGAATAGAAAAGAATGCAAGCCAAGAAGAGAAGGTGGGATGTGGGCTGGTGCATCCTAGAAATAGTATAAGTGGTCTATTTAGCACCAAAAGACAATGGATTTAGAAGTAGACCTTGCTTCTATTTGTAAGCCACTGGGTGAACTATGAAATTTCAAATCAAGTGAGAATGATGCTCTGCATCTCATTACATGTCCAAAGGTTTCAGGAATTTCCCCCAGAGAAAAGACCATCGTGCATCACATCCAGCCCAGAACACCCCCAAAGTCAAACCCAACTCTATGACTGGCCACAGCCACCCCACGGTGGCCATTATCAAAGCCACAAGTCCTCCTCCTCAAAAGCAAGCTGCTCTGGTCTCTGCCCTGCATGGTCTTGCTCAAAATTTTCCATTAAAGAATACAAAATACAGGACAAGAATATAAACAAGATATGACTTGACACCCTTAGTTTGGCCTCAAGCAAGTGTTTGGTGAAGTAAGAAGAGTGTGGCTGTTTTGGAAAATACTGGCAGTTCCTCAAAAAGTTAAAGCATTACCATGGGACCCTGCAAATCCATCCCACTTATTCAACGACTTGAAAACATCTGCCCACACAAAAAAGTTGTACACGAATGTTAACGTCATTCAACATAACAAGGAAAGGGACAAACGATCCAAGTATCCAACAACTGCAAAAGGACAGATGTGATGCAGCCGTCCCGTGGCTGTGCAGTCACATGATAAAGTGTTGCTGCTACAATCGCATGAGCAGTGAAAGCAAGGTGTGGAAGATGTGCAACACACAAAGGCCATGTAGTGAGTGACTTCATTTATGAGGACTGTCCAGAATAGGCAAACTGTAGACAACTGACTGGGGGATGCCTGGGCTGGGGGAGGGAACTGAGAGTGATTGCTAATGGGGATAGTGGGTTTTGGTTTTTGTTGTTTTGGAGGAATTAGATCTGGGGTGGGCGCACATGCAGCACTGTGAATACCCTACGACTCACTGAGTTGTGTACTTTAAGAGGGTGAATTTCCTGGGTATGTAAATTCTCTTAATAAAATTGCTAATAAAAAAAAACCAGATTACAAAGTGTTATCTGTTTATTGTGAAGGCTCTGATTTGGGGGTTCTATAGGACATATGCTTGAAATATTCCAACTCTTGCTGTTGGCAACTCAGTTGGAAGGAGAGAAGTGACAGAGACCCAAACAAGCACCAACAGCTTACCCGCATCTGTGATACTGCGTTTCTCAAGGATATTATAAGGAAGATCACAGGTAAAACAGTAACAATAAAAACGGCCCTTTCTACAGAACCACCATAACTTTTGTTTCCAGAAAATAGAACTAAGGTACATCTATCTTTTTTATTTTTCATCTTTGTTACTAAAAAGCCTAATTGAAGAATGTTTCCATTTTACCTTTCCTCAAATCAGGGCCTGGAGTTATCTACCTTTCCCAACCTATCTTAAGAATTCAGCCAGCTGTTCCTTCAAGTGTGCCCTTGAATAAGAAGGGATGCTTTAATGAGCAAAGTACCCCAAGCTCTTGAGCACGTATGATCGATTCTAAAACCAAACCCGAACATTCCATCTGCCGGCACTCAAGGATCAGGTAATACACAATGAATGGTCGTCTTTACCCCCACAGACCACAGGATGTTCTAGAGCTTCAAGGTGGTCAGCACCTTAACTCCCTGACTTTTGTCAGTGCCTGACCCATGTGACCCTCTTCAAGAACTAGGGAGCTTACTCTAAGCCGAGACTGGCCAGGGTCCTGTCAGCTCAGTTTACCTACCCATTTTTGGGCTGGGCATATAGGACACCCTCCTAGAAAACCTACAGTTGCTTCTTGCCGCTTACAGGTAAAAAGGGTAAATCCTAATCTGGGGGAAGAAATGCAAGGAGCCTCGCGAGATGTTGAAGAGCCACATGGTTGAACGCTGGCTGTGGATATCTTGATTTGGTGTCTCCTGGCCTGGTTCCTTCCATCACTAAAACACAGGGTTGAACACTGCCAATGCCTGTCAGCTGAGGCATCAAGGGATCCAGAGAATTCTACAGATTGAGCAGGCCTGCACACAGGCTTCCAGAGCTTGGGCGTCCTTTTCCTTTCTGAAGTTTAATACCACATTTGGCTGGACCCATGTTCCTGTTCTCTTGTCAGCCCCAAGGGGACAAGCAGCATCCTTCCTTCTTCCCACTTCTCCAGTCCTTAGGGCTATTCCCGGTCACATAAAGACGCATCACAAAGCCTCAGCAAAGGAGCCTCTGCTTTCACTAGGCTCTAAGAGAAAGGAATTCTTTAGGGTCACTATGGGGAGAAAATGAGATTAGCCTACAGGTCTGTTCTGTTCATTCCTCTACTTACTGGACGCAGCAGCCCAGGGAGACAGCCAACAGGGCTGCACAGACAGGAGCAACTGGAAAGGGATTGCCCTTGGAAGGAGATGGCAAGTTTTCTAGTGTGCCTGCTTTGGTGAAATCCTCCTTGTGGTTCATGGGGTTCCAGTCACACTTCTAGGCATAAAGTCTGAGTGGGGCTTATCTTAGTGATGTCAGGAGCAAGAGTAACTTAGGAAAAGGGGGCGTGCTTGAGAAGAACGGGCAGTTCTAGGAATCAGTTAGTCCTATGAAGGATCAAACTCTTAAGAGTTTGTGCATCAGCATAAAAAGGAAAGTGGAAGACCGGCAACATGAATTCTGTATTGACATTTGGTTCTTAATAATAACATCCAAAATGCGTTCTGTTCTTATAGCGCTGTGACCGGGATCGCATCGGGTGGAGGGTTTATGTTGCCGGAGTCTCCCTTAGAAGTGGGGAGGAGCTGGTGATGATAGAGACACACTGATTTCTTCTTGAGACCTATTTGCAGCTGGGTGGGGTGCTGCAGCAGGTACCTTGGCTTTGACAAGGGCTGGGGATGCAACCCCAGCGGGCCTGCAAACACATTGGCAGAATCCTCTGCCCTGAGCCCACAAGAACACAGACACTGATGGGGCTAGTGGTGGCAGCTCCAGGAGAGCGAAAGGGAGGCTGAGAGGTTACATTCTTGAGGCCTTCACAGGTACATGTCATCGTAGCCCGGTGGGGGGAGATGGTCTGGATTAGGTCTGCAACGGAAAGAGGGTCTAGTGAGTTGGAGGGATGAGGGCGGAGTGCACAGGAACCATGCCCGGTATAGAGGAGGCCTACAGAGTGACATGGAGTTTAAGATCATAAACTCTAGGGCCAGATGGCCTGGGTCTAAGTCTTACTTTGGCTCAAATGCCCAGTCTCTGGACCTTGCCCTTCTCATCTGTAAAAGGACTATGGGCACAGGCACCTCTTCCTCCGAGTCCTCCTTGGTGGGTCACCAAGTGTGCTGGCTAGTTTTATGTCAACTTGATACAAGTTATAGTCATCTGAGAGGAGAGAACCTTGATTGAGAGAAAAAAAAAATGCCTCCACAAGCCTGTACAGCATTTTCTTAATTAGTGACTGATGGGAGAGAGACCAGCCCATTGTGAGTGGGACCATCCCTGGGCTGCTGGTCCTGGGTTCTGTAAGAAAGCAAGCTGAGCAAGCCAAGGGGAATAAGCTAGTAACCAGCACTCCATGGCCTTGGCAACAGCTCCTGCCTCCAGGTTCCTGCTCTCTTTGAGTTCCTGTCTTGACTCCCGTCAATGGTGAACACTGATGTGGAGTTGTAAGGAGAATAAACCCTTTACACCCCACGTTGCTTTCATTCATTGTGTGTTATCACAGCAATGATAACTTTAAGACAAGGGAAGGAGGTGAGGAGAGGACTCCTGAAAGGCTCTAGGGAGGCAGCAGTGGTAACTGAGCCTGGAGTCAGATACCTGGGCTGCAATGCTGAACGAAGCCAAGCTGAGCTGCCATCAAATCCCATGTTTCAGCATACCTGAATGAATACCTACCCAGATGGGCTGGTCCCAATGGGTCCAAAGGGGTCAAAGCGAGCTCCTGGGGGCACAGCACCAGGGGGAAGCCGGTTCGGGAGGCCCGAGGATGGGTCAATAAGTGCTCTTGGGAAGCCAGATCTCAGGGGATCCACAATCATGCCACCTCTCTGATACCTGAGACAGAAAGAAAGCTGGGTAAGCAGCTGCAGCAGGGACTTACTGCCCTTGAAGACGCGGGACAGGTAGAGTGAAGTAAAAACTGACCGGGGCTACTGTAGTGGTCCAGGCAGACACAAGATCAAACAAGTGAGCAAGAACACAAGAGTGTGTGCTGCTGATGCAAGAAGTTCTGTAGGATTTCTTGAGCCCACAGGGTTGAGATCTCTGCCATGTATTACACCCAGTGGGGTCAACTGGTCAAGAACTGGAGCTAGAATTGGCCAGGATCAATTGCAGAGTATTACTCTAAACCTAGGAGTAATGACATCGTGACCGCTCATGTTGTGGTTTTGCTATTTCCTTAAGGGTGTCAGTACAGTTGCTAACAACCGTGGACCTGACTTCATACGCTCCAACTGGGATGGGCTAATGCTCTGCCCATGCTGAGCACTGTTTGAGCAGCCCTGCAGAGCCGAGTGAGTCCTACTATCAAAATGAGATGATCAAAGTGGGGTCACTCTTCAGCAGGAGTTAAAGGTCACCTGACTCGCTCAGAGAGCAGAGTGCACAGCTGCACTGCAGAATGAATCTGCTGGATGTAGAATGAGAACCAGAGGACACACCAGGGCTTAGAGACTCCCTCTGTGGAGAGAGGCAACCACCAAATATGCCTGAGCACACTCTACAGACTATGGCCCACTGTGGGTCTTCATTCCTCATCTGGTGAATTCTCATGACTCTTATCCAGGTAAAGGCTGAGATCCTTCTATGTAGAGGGGATGGAGATGGTCCTCCCATGGTCCTCTATGTATGGCAGAGCACAGAAAGTAGCATGATTCCTCAGCCACTCGGCAGCTACCTCCTTCACTCCAAAGGGAGGCTGACGAAAACTCTAAAATTAGATGAGCAGGGCTGTAAGTCACTAAGCAAGTTACATTGCTGCCGCCTCCCCAGAAATACTCACCCAAAGGGGTCTAGGTCTTCTCCCCCGACAGCAAATGGGCTCAGGGGATCACGCCTGAAACAAACAAGAACAATTACCACAATTCCCAGAGCAGCCAAACACCTAGGCTCCCAGGCTTAAAGCTGATGCCAGTGGGGACACAGTGAACACCCGACAAGGCCGAACCTTTCATAAGACCACAACATAAGGAATACTTCAAAGTGGTCCTTAGCAGTGATTAACACTGATCATATTAAACTGGAAATCATGTGAAAAAGAGCTGAACAAAAGTTAAGACTGGGTGGGTGGATGGGAGGGCCTGAGAGGATGGTTCAGTGGATAGAGCACTGGCTGCTTTTTCAGAGGACCTGGGATCAATTCCCAGAACTACATGATGGCTCACAACCGTCTGTCACTACAGTTTCAGGAGATGTGATGCCCTTGTCTGACCTTCATGGGCACAAGGCATATACATGGCACACAAACATGCAGCCCAAATACTCACAGTACATAAATAAAAGAATAAAAAGTTAAAACCAACGCAGCAGAGATGGCTCAGCAGCTAGAACACAATGCTCTTACAGGAAACTCTGCTTGGCTCCCAGCACCCTCCTCAATAACCACATACACAACCACCTATAACCTATAACCCAGTTCCTGGGGATTTGACACCCTCTTCTGGTTCTATGGTCATCTGCATGCATGAACTATACATAAATTTACATAGGCACATATACATAAAATTAATTAATCTTTAAAAAGTTAAAATAATGAAGAGCTGAGTATGAATCAAGATAAAATAACAACCCCAGATACATTCTATTTTATTCACACTTTGTCAAAGTTCTTGTATTTTTACCTAAGATTCAAGAACTTCCACCATACATGAAATATTACTTTAAAACCAAAACCTGACAGCTAAAATAAAGAAGCTTCTCAGGTGGGGCGAGATAGAGACATGAGAGCCTGAGGGTGTAGCTTCATGGGCTTCCTGACCTGCTCATCACGGCCCTTGGATACTTTTAGTCCCACTGACTACTGTGACCTTCGCACCATAGCCTCCTGGACGGCCATTAGCCATAAACCTCTGCAATCTCTAATATTTTCTCCTTTCCCCCCAAAGGATCAAGTCCTTCCTTCTCTGAGAAAGCTCTGGAGCAAAAATGAGAACGAATAAAGAGCATAATTAAAGGTTCCTAAGTAACCAGCATCTCCGTTTGCCTTTCTGGACCAGTGTGAGAAGGGAAGAAACAGAATGAAGGAGGGAGCTGCGAGGCCCGCCCAACCCCCGTGTGCTCAGACTTTCATGGCTATTACTAGTAGTTTATCTTTGCCACTGTCTGAATGTTCTAATTCCTCTACCCCAGTGGTCTCAATCTATGGGTTGTGACCCCTTTGAGAGGGGTGGGGGTGTTGAATGCTCCTTTCACAGGGGCTGCCTTAGACTACTGGAAAAACAGATATTTGCATTATAATTCATAGCAGTAGCAAAATTACAGTTATGAAGTAACAACAAAGATAATTTTATGGTTGGGGTCACCAAACACAAGGAACTGTATTAAAAGGGTTGTGGCCTTAGGAAGGTTGAGAACCACTACTCTACCCTATACTCAGACCCTGACATTCTGTTCTCTCATTTATTTATTCTATCTGTGAGGCTTTCTCCAAGGTCTTTTGCTTGACTTACTGATTGATAATTCTTTCCCCATATTAAAATATGGATTTAGTTTTCTGGTCTCCACAATTTCTGATGAGAAACACTCGCTCACATTCTTATTCTGCACAAGCAATGCATTTTCTTTCGTTGCTTTCAGATGTTTTTCTCTGTATTTAAATTTTAGCAGTTTATATGTCCAAGCACTGAGTTCATCGGGTTCCCATTGTTTAGAATTTGCCAAATCAAGTAACCTCCAGTCACATTTTATCCAGTATACCTCTGCCGCAATCTCTCCTCTCCTAAGACTCCTGCAGTCATCTTCTTAGGTCTTCTATAATTGCTCCACAGGTTCGGAAAATTTCATTTTTAAAACTTTGGGGCTGGAGAGATGGCTTGGTGATTAAGAGCACTTGCTTTTCCTGCAGAGGACTTGGGTTCAGTACCCAGTACCCAAGTGACAGCTCACAACTACCTGCTGTGAGACCCCAGTTCTAGGGGATCTAGTGACCTCTTTTAGCTTTTGTAGGCACTGCACCATGTAGTGCACACCCACACACGCAGCCAAAATGCTCAGATATGTAAAAGAAAAGAAAACATCTTTTCCTCTGTTTTTTTTTTTTAGGTGGGTAATTTCCTTTGATTATAAGTTAACAAACTCTTTAATCGATTTAATTCTACTACTAATCTATCCAATGAGGCAAACCTTGTTAGTAAATTTTGTTCAATTTTTCACTTCTAAAATTTCCATTTAGTCCTATCTTGGTATATTCTGTTCCTATCATTGCATTCAAGATGGCTTCCCTCACTCCCCATAGCATTTTTACAAGGGCTCTTTTAAAGTCTTAGTCAGATAATCCCAGTATCTGTACTACCTCTTGGTACAGACATCTGTTGACTATCTTTTTGGGAACTAAGGGTTTTTGGTTCTTTAAGGTACAGTAACTTTGGACTTTACCTCAGACAGTTTGAATATTTTGTTCTAAGTCTTGAGGGAAAATTGTCTTATTTGTATTTTAAAGGGCAACCAATGCAGTTGGTTTAAATTCTGGCTCCAGTATCGGTGCGGAGCTGGACATGGTGGTACACTCCTAGAATCCCAACATTCAGGAAGCAGAGGCAGAAAAATCTTGAGCTGTCTGAGACCAGCCTCGATTGTACAGGGAGACACCACCTTAAAACAAACCCAACAAACCAGGTCCATTTGTTCCTAGAGCTTTTCCAATACCACTAAGCTCCATACTACACGTGTGGTCTCCAGCAGCCTGTCTACCTGGATGGTAGGCTCTCCTGTTCTGCTCTTGAATGTTGGAAATACTCTTTAAAGTTGAATATATCTGTGTAGTCTGCAGCTGAAGCCAGAAACACATCAACTGCTTATGAGGGCCTTTGAGTTCTCATCTCTCTATGGTCTTTTTGGCACATTCCATTTCCATGTGGGGAAAGCCCCTACTTTTGTCCTTTGCTGGAAAACTGGGTTTTAGTTACAGTGCTCTGCTATATATTTTCCCATACTGTGTCAATGTCCATCTCAAGTGCCACGAAGACAAAGGGAGCAAAAACCACACTTTGGTGGTGGTGGCATTTTGAGACAGTCACTATGTAGCACCAGCTGGAGTTGAATTTGAATTCTGTCTCAGTTTCCCAAGTGCTGGGATTACAGGCCACACCTGGCTCAGCCTTACACTTTTAGAGACATTGAATCTTCCCACTGTAAAGAAGGTTCTTCTTTCTCACTTGTAGGTGTCTAGAGACTGAAGTCTGGTGTACAAATAGGTAGAGAAAAGGCTGGAAGCACAGGGCTAACCTGGAGCACTCTGTCCAGGCCAGTGTCCTCTCAGACTTCCTTGATTTCAGACTATACAACCTCAGGCAAATGGTGGTGAATTAATTCACTGCCTGGAAATTTGGCGGTACTTCTATTCTCCAGTCTGTTCCCTAGTCTGAGTATCACATGTAATTTGGAGAGTTCAGGAGTCAAGCCCTATCCACCTGGCATCCCCATACAAGACTGACTCTCCAGCTATGCTCTTGGGTGGACGCACCCAGTATCCCCCACAAGCTCCAGACATGCCACTCCACACTTAGGAAAATAAACCCAGGAGTGAGAAGTGAAACATGGGTCTGTGTCATGTGTGAAGGGCTCCTAGCTCTGTGTAAAGCTCTTCAGTGATGGGCGTCACTGCTTCAGGTCTAAAAAGCACTCACTTTGAAAACTGCCCAGCACTTGTTCTTAGATCTTGCAAACATATTCACTGAGACCATAGCTGGAGCACTGGGGTGGGAGTGAAACACACCTGGACCCCAACCCTTCCTCTGCCTCTTTACTAGTGGCTGGGGACCTTAGGAAGGACAGCTGCCAGTCCCTTCCATGAAATAAGGAGGCTGCAGCATAAGCAGTCCCTAGACTTTCCAAGTACTTCTTGTTCTCCATTCTCTCAGAGTTCTCCAAACTGACTCGCTAACTATTAATTATAAGATTTTAATTGATTAGCTATTGTCAACTAACCAAAAGCATACAACTATACTGTAGGACATGTGGTCTCAGATAAGACTACAGTCCCCTGTCTTTGTCCCCTCCACCAGAATAATAGTCTCTAGGACTATTGCTGCTAACCTACTCTGCAAAGATCTTGAAGATGATTCATTCACGTAGCAGCCTTTTGGCCAGCTTCTGAAGCTGTCAGTGTGAAGGTACACAATGAGAGGCTGCCTCCCCTCCACGATGGCACTTCTGTCCCTATGCATTCTCCCCAAAAGTCTCACTCAGCCCCACCCAAAGAGTAACTGATTCACCTGGGCAGCAGCAGCACCAGAATGCGCGGATCTAGTAATGCTTGTTATCTACCTCCACACAGCAAGACTTCCAACAATTCTGCTGAAGACACTTGGAGGCCAGGGAGGGGTCAAACAGCAGGATGGGATGGACAGTGGGATCCTACCATAGGCTCCTGGGCTGGCCACTGGGGGCTCCGTACTCACCAACGAGGCTGGCGGCTAGAATGAGGGTGGTGTGAAGGAATCCGGAGTGGGTCCACCTCTCTGGCAATGGCAGGTGGGAACTCCCGGTGGGGACTGCTTGCGCGAGCCTTCTCCCACTGCTCATGGATAGGTGTGATGATTCCAGATCTGATCCGAGACCGAAGCTCCTCACTGTTCTTGTAGGTCCTACAGGAAGGAGACGAGGAGTCAGGTTCCTGCAGCTGGCTGCGATTCTTGTGTACAGTATTCTGGTGGCGGGGGCGGCGGCCCTGAGAACTTTTGGCCTTGCGCTTGGTCTGTTTTCTACGGTGGGAACGGGCCGTCCGGCGGACCTGGGTGAGGGGGGCAACAGCCTGGCGCTGTCTCCGAGATTTGGGCCTAAGCTTCTTAGGCATCTGAGTTGCCCCTCCTCATTTACCACCCCATTAGAAAGAGGTGAAGGTCGGGGCACAGGGCTTGGACTGGCTGCTCCTTATCCTCATGCCACCCCTCCCTCAGCTTCATTGTGTGTTCATCACGTGTCATGGCAAGGGTCATGGAAGGCAAAGGCTCTGTGGGAGGATGAACCAGGTTCCTGGTCCTGGGCTCAGTTCAGGCAGATCCTGGGAAGGCTGCCCCTACCAGGTAGGTGTCCGTCTCCCCCTTGCCTGTGAGAAATAAGCAACTTGAGCTATGGCTGAGGGTGTGGTGGTCAGATGAGGCAGCAGCAAGTGGGCAGGACTCTGGTGTTTCTTAAAACTGGCATTTTATGGGGCTGGAGAGATAGCTCAGAGGTTAAGAGCACTGACTGCTCTTCCAGAGGTCCTGAGTTCAATTCCCAGCAACCACATGGTGGTTTACAGCCATCTGTAATGAGACCTGGCACCCCCTTCTGGCTTGCAGGCACACATGGAAGGAATGCTATACACATAATATAATAAATAAATAAAAATAAAATAGTTTATTCTTTAAAAACAACAACAACAACAAAACCTGGCATTTTAAAAATGAGCCACACCCTGGTTCAAAAAGCAAACTGCACACCTGAGAGCCTGCAGTGTTCCTGGTCACATAGAACCACATTAGAACCCACAATAGAAGTCTTTGAACTTGTGGAACTCAAGCATTTCCAGACAGTGTAGGGACCCATACTGTAGTGGCTTAGAAGGTGTATGTCCTCCATAGTCTCAGGTGTTTGAATACTTGGTCCCAGTTGGAGCCCTGTTTGGGTAGACTGAGGAGGTGTGGCCCTGCAGGAGAAAGTGTGTCACTTGGGTGGGTTTCAAAAGCCATGCATCATTCTCAATTTATCCTGATTCCTGCTTGCTGCCATGCTCTCTCTCCATGATGGACACCTGTCCCTCTGGAATCAAAAGCCCAAATCAACCCTTCTACAGGTCATGGCAGTTTATCATAGCAACAGAAAAGGGACTGAAACCTAAGCCTCCTCCAGAGACTCCAGACAGAAACACAGTGAAGTCTAGTTACAAAACTTTACAGTCACTTTCAGAAACACAGGCGGGGACGCTTCACAGTTAGTTCAGGAAGCTGGCACTAGTCTAGCTCTTGTAGACCAGGCTGGTCTCGAACTCACAGAGATCCACCTGCCTCTGCCTCCCGAGTGCTGGGATTAAAGGCATGCGCCACCACCGCCCGGCCCTGGCACTAGTCTATATCAAAACTAGGGAAAGCACAAACTCAATAATTTCTTTACCAATTAAAAAAAAAAACAACAAAATATTAAAATTGAGCTCGAAATATATTAGAACCATACAATTTAACCAAACAGGATTTATTCTAGGTAAGCAAGGCTTAGTAGACACAAATCAGTGTGGTCCACCAGTCCAACAAAAAGAAAAAAAAATCAGAAAATCAAACCAACTGATAAAGAAAAACCATTTCCCAAAACAATCCACTCAAGATAAAAACTCAGCACTAACAAAGAACGAAGAACACAGGAACCCATCCTCAGTTTAGTAAAAAGCATCTGCTATATTCCCTACAATCAACAGTGGAAGCAGAATCCTTTATCCCCTAACTGTGCGAATAAGGCAAAGAAGTGCTTTCTGGCAACCCTCATTTAACATAACACTGGAAGTTATGGGCATTATAATAAGGGAAAAGAAGAAAATCATAAAGATTAAAAAGTGAACAATGAAACTACTTTCCTATGACAAATTTCCAAAGAAAGTCTGCCTCCAACAAAATGAAACACCTCAAAATGTCATTCAGTATTAGAGAAATGGAAATTAATGATCCCAATGAGAGATCCCTGCACATGACTGCACACTGCATAAAGAATACAAAATCAAATGCTAGGACACATGAACAGAAGTGGGCTCACTCGTAACGGGAGTGGATGTAAAACGGTAGACACGGCAAAACTAAACCAAATATGAATTTATCATTGCACTCTGGGGCATTTTCCACAGAGAAATGAAAATCACAACTAACTGCACACAAGTCTGTATTTAAATGCTATGGTGTCCTTATCCATAACTGCACCAACTGGACAGAGTCTAGTCATTTAATTTGTCCTTTAGTCAGTGAGTTGTTAAACCAATTGTTGTATGCACAGCATAAAGTATATCCAGTAAACAAGAGTAACAAACAGTTACTGTGCACTATAGTTTAGATGGATCACAAGATTATGCTGAATGGAAAAGGCAAACTCAAGATTACATATGAATTCTATCTATATAAAACGTTTGAAATGATAAAATTCTAGAAATGGAGAACAAATTGCCAGGAAGGCTGAGGCATCCTGGCCTACTTAGCAAGATCCTGACACACCCACACACGCATATGCATGCATATACACGCACACACACACCAAGATAACAAAGGGCCAAGCATTGTAGCTTTAATCACAGCACTCAGAAGGCAAAGGCAAGTGGATATCTGTAAGTTTAAAGCCATCCTGGTTTACAAAGTGAGTCCCAGGCCGGTCAGGACTACAGAATGAGACCCTGTCTCATAAAAACCAAACCAAAATACTACAAAACAAAACAAAAAGTCAAATGGCATAGCAGCTGCCACAGGTCAGAAGATCCGAGAGCCCATTGCCTACTAAACTTTACACTGATTGTGTTCTTACTTAGTACACAGAACACAACAGACTCTTGTTTCTCCACCTACGCAGATGTGATATGAGAAGGCATCTATCCTTTACGGGCTTCACTTGTAGAAAGGAGTCCTAATTTCAAGAACTACTAACTCCTAATGCAGAACTTCTTAAAGAATTTCCCAGAAGAGTATTCTTTGGAAGAACAAATGCCATTTCATTTTGGTAGTGGCAAAAGACAGCCTACTACGCTGTCTGACACAGAAAGGCCAAGGCAAAGAGGGATAAACCAGGGTTCCACTTCTTAGCTAGCCAGAAAGCTTCCCAAGGGGCACAAACTCCTACCTAGAAGAGGCGGTGTTCATGTCTGTTAAAGGAGAATCAGATGGAAGGAGGTGGCTAGGAGCACCACAATGCAGGTGGAAGCAGTGGGAGAGAAGGGCGAGTGTTGAAGAGGTGATCACAGTCAGCTCTCAGAGCCTATGCTTTCATGAGATGATTTCTTCCTTTGTGCAATACCAGGAACACGGCAAATGAGTAAGACTTTGATCCCAGCACCACAAAAACAAGGGGGAATATACACATAGACACAGACACACACACACACTACACATTTCAAGTCTTAATAAAACAAGAAAATAAAAAAAATGAAAGTCTAGGAACTATGCTAATTAAAATGAATTAAAAAGACATAAAAATTAATGCAACAGGCACGTTTTAGGTGGTTAAAAAAACTAAAAGAACAGCTCTGAAGAACACTGTTGGGATAGGTGTAGAAGTCAGAATGCGGAGTGCATATTAAACATTATACTAATGCTACATTCCTAAGTGTGATAATTGTTTTAAAGTTAAGGAAGATGACATCCTTATGAGATTGCTAGTCTAAGGAGATGGCTTGAGTTGGGGTCTTGAGGAAAGGACAGGTAAAGCACTTGCCACTCAAGTGTGAGGACCCAAATTCACATCCCCAGAACCCATACACAGTAGCATACACCTGCAATCCTAGTGATCCTGTGGCGAAGCAGAGGCAGAAGAGCCCCTGAAGCTGTGGGCCAGCTAGCTTGGCGCACATAGCTGCAAAACAACAGAGACCCTGTCACAAGTGACGGCTTAAACCTGAGACTGTCCTCTGGCTTGCACTGACTTGCAAACACATAGTATAGAACATGCACACCTGCATGCTCACATGAACATACACCATACACACACAAACACACATACACACACATGCACGCATACACACACACACCAGACTCTGTTGTTCCATGCTACAGTATTTAGAGATCAAACTACATAAAGCCTATAAATAATTCTCAGATGGTTCAAGAATAAAAAATGCCATAATGTCTTATTGAGCAAAAGCAGCAAAATGTTAGAAGCTGGTTAATCTGGGTAATGGTAAGTGGGTATCCACTGTGTGTTTTTGTAAACGTCTCTCTTCTGTAGCTTACAGTTTTTAACATTAAAAGTTTAGGATGTCAGCAGAATGAGAAACCATAAGCTGGGAGAAAATATGTGGAGAACATTTACCAGATAAAGCACCATCACCCAAATTAAATAAAACTCTTAAAACTCAGTAAGAGAATGAACAACTAAGTCAAAACTGAGAAAAACTGATCTGAACAGACTCATCAAAGAAGAACTACATGGAAAAATAAGCCTAAGAAAGAAGATCCACATCCTATCTCCAAAGAGCTACACTTGAAACAAGCAGACACCACTATTGCACTGCCAAAGGCTGACAAGGGTGTGGGGCGGCGGAAACTCTCTTTAGTCACTGTCAGCAGGATTGCAAGCAGCACAGCCACACCAGAAGACAGTTCATGTGGGCTCCTTTTCCAGCCACAACATCCTGCAAGAGGTAAAACTACGGAGACAGTAACAGGATCACCATTTCCCAGGGACAGTGTGGGAGGGGGGACGAACAGGTAGAACACAGAGGACGTTTCCAGTGTCAAACAGTGCCCCATGACACGACAACACCGAGTATGCCCAAACTCCATAAGGCACAACACTGAGAGTGAACCCCAACATGGGGCTTACAACAGATACTCTGGTACCAGATGATGATGGGAACAGTGGGCAGGTGGGAACTAACTTTGGGCTCTAAAATTACTAAAAAAAAAGGTGGGAGTGGAGTGAAGACTTGATTAAGCATACTTTCTCTAAGGAAGCTCCTCCTTTTTAGAATGTATTTGTGCATGTGTGTGTGTGTGTGTGTGTGTGTGTGCGCGCGCGCGTGTGCCATGGCACGTGTGTAGCAATCAGAGAACAACTTTCTCATAGCTCTCTCCTGCCACCTGTGGGATTCAGGGTCAGAACTCAGGCTGTCATGCCTGTGCACAAGAGCCTCTATCACAAAGTGTCTCTACCCATGGAGGCACTTGCTGGAGTTGGCCTAGACCCAAGTCTGTAGCAACTGTAGCATCTGTGGACTCTTGAATGCATCACCTTACTTCATGGGATATTTTCTATGTGAGTCTTGTCTTCATACAAACAAACAAGCAAACACACACACACACACACACACACACACACACACACACACACACACACACAATAAGAGAATGGAGAACTGACTGTGCCTAGGACTTGGTTCTCTGGGCACTTCCATACCATTCCTTATTTCTTGCTCCTGACTCCCTCTGCCTTTTTTCACAGAAAAGACATCCTTTAGAAGTACCTGTGGAAATCACTCAGGTCTTCTGCATCAATATAATCATCTAAGTTCAGAGTCAAGTCTGCCACCTGCTGTGTGCCATGTTCCTAGAAAAGTGAAAACAGAAAATGAGAGATGGGGGTACAGTTCTCAGTTCATTGGTATACAGGGGAAAGTGGGCAAGGAATTGAGGTACCCAATGGATACATAATCATAACCTAGGGCAACACCGGAAAGCAGCCCCAGCTATGGGCAGACATCTCGCTCATGAGGGAAGCAACCAGGCTGCAGGAGTCACAGCATGGGGCACTCCACACTGACAATACCAATCAATACCCAAACCTGGAAGGGGGCAATCAACAGTGGTTTCTAGGGGTTGGGGTACTACTTTTGGAAGCTTAGCTTAGAACCTACTTCAGTGCCGGGCGGTGGTGGCGCATGCCTTTAATCCCAGCACTCGGGAGGCAGAGGCAGGCAGATCTCTGTGAGTTCGAGGCCAGCCTGGTCTACAAGAGCTAGTTCCAGGACAGGAACCAAAAGCTACGGAGAAACCCTGTCTCGAAAAAAATCAAAAAAAAAAAAAAAAAAAAAAGAACCTACTTCAGTGAGCTATCTCAGTTCTGTTAAGCCACTTAAATTAATCTGGAGGAATTGTTTGCAACTAAGAATCCAGTTCATCAATAATATATAATACTGAAAGAGGATGTTGTCTATCTATCTGTGTTATGTAAAGATCTCCAAAACATACTGAGTGGAAAAAGCCAAATATGAATAATACAGCCAGATACTTTCAAGAGCACATACAAACCACCACCATAAAATGGAACAGAAAGAAAGTCATTTGCCTCAGGGTGCTCACAGTTCAGGGGCAAAATACCAGCATTAAAAAAGAGTATATATAAGTACAGAAATATAAGATGTTATGTGTATCAACTGGAAAATAAACAGGCTTGAGACCTATCATTTAGACTTGTGTGGCAGATGGAGGTGGATAGTCAGGACTGAACTTTTTGAATAGATGAACATGAACACACACAGAGGCACAGAGACAGAGAGGGAAGGAGAGGGAGGGAGAAGGAGGGAGAGGCACTGATGGAGGAAGGTCATTGGCTAATAAACGCACTGCCCTGGCCCATTTTATTGGTTAGAGGATAGGTGGGAGGAGTAGGCAGAACAGGACGCTGGGAGGAAGAGGAAGTGAGCTCAGTCTCGACAGCTTTCCTCTCAGGAGCAGACGCCTGAGAGAGACGCCATGCCCCGCTCCCGGCATGAAGCTCCGACCCAGGATGGACTAGGCTAGAATCTTCCCGGTAAGACCGGTTCTCACAGATTATTAGAGATGGGTTGATCGGGATGTGAGAATTAGCCAGTAAGTGCTAGAGCTAAAGGGCCAAGCAGTGCTTAAAAGAATACAGTGTCTGTGTAATTATTTTGGGCATAAGCTAGCCGGGCAAGCGGCCGGGGGTGCTGAGAACGCAGCCCTGCCGCCCTTATTACTTCAAGGCACTAAAGGAATGATGGAATGGTGGAGGGTATATATGTGTATGATGTGATGTGGGAGAGAGTCTGCAGAGCAAGAAACATGAAATGCAAAGGGCCCAAGGCAGAAAAACTTACTTTAGAAACTAAACGAGCTGCTGAGACTACACTAGCCTTCATCTCTTGTGCTGTCAGTGAGTGAGCATTGCTGTGGGCAGGACATCCCTTTTCTGTATAATACAGGCAATAAATACACATCCACATCTACTAAGGTTTCTCTCCTCAGGAGAATTACTAGATTAAACTTTGGGGACATTTCCGAACGCATTGCTGAAGTGAGTTTCTAGATAGGCATCTTGGCCCCTCACCGTGGGCAGGCCTGTGCTCGGACTCACCAGCACATTGATGATCATGCTGTTCTCCACAGGGACAGCTTTCAGGAGGAGTTTTTTGGCCCCGTCCTTAGACTCATACCGGAGGACATACAGTTCTTTATTGCTGTTCCAGGTAGCTGGCAGGAGTTCTGACTTCTTATCACTGGGACCTGGCTGAGAAGACAGAAGGGTTGAGAAAAGAAAGATCTTGGCCTCAGAACACAGAACTATAAAGGACCACCTTACCCATAACCTAATCCCGTCCCTCACATCAGATATGTGCTCAAGGATACACAGAAAGTCAGAGGTCTGGGAACCAGCACTCTCACTCAGCTACCTGGTGGCCTTGGCAACACAGCTCAGGAGCAACGTGTCAGCAATCTACAGCCTTGGGCTAGCATACAGATTAGTAGAGCGCTTGCCTAGCATGTATGAGGACCATGTGCTAATTCCCAGAATCACCAAAAATTAGAATTAAAATACTACAGTCTTGGCTTAATAATCATTTATCATCATGACAAAAATAATACCAGTGTGAAATTCAAAGTAGTGCTTCCCACGGTTCAGACGTTGAGTTATCTATAATAGAGTCACAAAAAGCAAGGTCCTAACAGAGACTCGCCAACCAACTGTAGTCGTCTGATAAAAAGCATAAACATATACTCCACACGTAGCACACAAACTAGATTTAAAAGTTATAAAACAGACACCTATGTAGTCACCACCAGCACAGGAAATTCAGTGTCATCAGCCACTAAACATTATCACTAAAGCCTGTGTATCTCAGGGGTGTCCCTGTCCTCAAGAGTAACCAACACTCTGTACTTTTATTATTATTATTATTATTATTATTATTTTTCACTTTTCCTTCATGTTGCATCACTACATGTGCAGTTATAAAAACATAATGTGTCAGGGGCTGGAGATGTTCAGCCTGGCTGTTTTTCCAGAAGAATTGGTTTGATTCCCAGCACCCACATAGAAGCTTTCAAACACCTGTAACTCCAAACCCAAAGGATGTGGCATCTTCTTCTGTCTTAGTGGGTACCAGGCATGCACAAGGTGAAAAACACACACGCAGATGAGACAACCATATACACTAAATACACTAATTTGTGTGTGTTCAAAAGCTGTGGAATTCAATGCTTTCCCCCTTTATTTTCTGAGACCTGTATAGTCTCTCATTGAACCTGGAACTCAATGGTTCAGCAAGGCTGGTCAATGAGATCCAGGGATGTGCCTCTTCCTCTGCTAAGCTCTGTGCCTGGCTTTTATATGGGTACTAGGAATGAGAACTCAGGAACTCATGCTTACAAGGTAGGCACTTCACAGACTGGGTCATCTTCTTGACCCAACACTTGCACAGTTTGTTTAATGTTGTTTTAAGAAGGATATCCATGTAGATGTATTCTATAGTTGGTCTACATATACAATTATACAGTGTTCCATTAAATGAATATGCTGTGATCCACAAATTCACTGTCTGATGGACATTAGAAGTGCTTCTAGTTGACTTCGTTTTCCATTATAAACAATGATGCTATGAATACACTGTTGTACACATCTGGCATACATGTGGTTTGCCCAGGGGATGAACTTTTATAAGATAAATGCAAACTGTGTACTAATGTGCTCAATTTGCAATAAGTGAGCTTCTGGTGCTACACACAGTTTTGCAGCATTGCTATTATCTACTTGCTTGTTTTTGCCAGTCTCGTGGATTATAAAATGTATTTTTCTGTGTATTCGTTGTGATGGTCTCCTTGCTTTCCCTTTTTAATAATTCCAAGATTTCGGGAACTCACCAAGGCCAGCTGGCCTGGGTCTGAAAAAGCCTAGGATAAAACCGGACTTGCTGAACATAGCGGACAATGAGGACTACTGAGAACTCAAGAACAATGGCAATGGGTTTTTGATCCTACTGCACATACTGGCTTTGTGGGAGCCTAGGCAGTTTGGATGCACACCTTACTAGACCTGGATGGAGGTGGGTGGTCCTTGGACTTCTCACAGGGCAGGGAACCCTGATCACTCTTTGGGCTGACGAGGGAGGGGGACTTGATTGGGGGAGGGGGAGGGAAATGGGAGGCGGTGGAGGGGAAGAGACAGAAATCTTTAATAAATAAATAAATTAAAAAAAATAATTCTAAGATTTCCCTGTCTAAGCTAAGTTATGACTTTTATTGCTACAATAAAACACCATGATCAAAAGCAACTGGGGGGCAGTCGTGGCAGAGAGGCGTGGCGCCCAGTCGCAGCAGAGAGGCGCTGCAATCAGGAATAGGCTTTGGGGGACCGGTGGCGCAGCGGCAGACGCAAGCAGCGGGGACGGGCTCGCAATAACAAGAGCAGATTGCCCCACTACAAGTAAATCAAAGAGAAACCCCAAGGGGGGACTGGCGCGGTGGCAGACGCACAAGGCAGGTATGGGCGCGCAATAACGAGAGCAGATCGCCCCATTACAATTAAATCAAAGAGGTAGGCCTTTTGTTGGCGAGGTCACTGGCAAACGGGGAGCCTGGTCCTGATCCTGAAGACCCTTCAGAGGGGTGAGAGGGTTCTTGGCCTGCGGCAGGAACCAGGAAACAGAGCGAGGGCATTTGGTAAGCGGAACCCTTGGCTAGCAGGGAAACCTGATCGGATCTTAAAAGACCCATTAGATAGGATCAATAGGAAGAGATGGGAAGGCGCCAAGGCAAGAATTCACCCAATAATCTGAAAAACAACATGAAAACACCAGAACCCAATGATCTTACAACAGAAGTATTTGAACACCCTAACACAGAAGAAGTGGAAAAAATTGACTTTATGAAAGAAATAGAGTCCCTTAAACAACATGTAAAAAACGCCCTTATAGAAATGGATGAGAAGTATAACAAAAAGTTTGAAGAAATGAGTAAATACATACATGATACCCTGGGAAACCAAGAAAAAACGATCAAACAGGTAATGGAAACAGTTCAAGAATTAAAAACTGAAATGAAGGCAAGGAAGAAAACACAAACTGAGGACCAGCTGGTTATGGAAAATCTAGGTCAACGAGCAGAGTCTACAGAAACAAGCATAATCAATAGAATACAAGAGATAGAAGAAAGAATCTCAGATTCTGAGGACACCATAGAGAAAATAAACGCACAGATCAAAGAAAACAGCAAAGCCAACAAATTCTCAACACAAAACATTCAGGAAATATGGGACACTATAAAAAGACCAAACCTAAGAATAATAGGTATAGAAGAAGAAGAGGCACAGCTCAAAGGCCCAGAAAATATTTTTAACAAAATTATGGAAGAAAACTTTCCCAACATAAAGATATTCATTTAAATATTCAAGAAGCATACAGAACACCAAACAGACTGGATCAAAGAAAAACATCTCCTCGCCATATAATAATCAAAACACAAAATATACAGGTTAAAGAAAGAATATTAAGAGCTGCAAAGGAAAAAGGGCAAGTAACTTATAAAGGTAAACTGATCAGACTTACACCTGACTTCTCTATGGAAACCATGAAAGCCAGAAGGTCCTGGATAGATGTACTGCAGAAGCTAAGAGACCATGGATGCAAACCCAAACTACTATACCCAGCCAAGCTATCGTTCACTATCAATGGAGAAAATAAGACATTCCAGGATAAGAACAAATTTAAACAATACGTAGCCACAAACCCAGCCCTACAGAAAGTAATAGAAGGAAAATTGCAACCCAAGGAGTCCAACATTGCCAACACTGCCTACAATAACTCAGGCATCTAGTGACCCTTCACCAGCACATCTCAAAGAAGGGAGACACACAAACTCTACTACCAAAAACAATAAGAATAACTGGAGTAAACAACCACTGGTCATTATTATCACTTAATATTAATGGGCTCAATTCACCTATAAAAAGGCACAGGCTAAAAGATTGGATACGAAAACAGGATCCAACAGTCTGCTGTTTGCAAGAAACACATCTCAACCACAAAGACAGACATCTACTCTGAGTAAAGGGTTGGGAAAAGGTGTTTTAAGCAAACGGTCCTAAGAAAAAAAGCAGGTGTGGCCATACTAATTTCTAACAAAACTGACTTCAAACTAAAATCAATCAGAAGAGATCGAGATGGACACTTTATCCACATAACAGGAACAATTCATCAGGATGACGTCTCAATCCTGAATATCTACGCCCCTAATATAAAAGCACCCACTTATGTAAAAGAAACATTACTAGAACTCAAGGCAGACATCAAACCACACACACTAGTAGTAGGAGACTTCAACACACCTCTCTCTCCAAGGAACAGGTCAATCAGACAGAAACCTAATAGAGAATTAAGAGAATTATTGGAGGTAATGAAGCAAATGGACTTAACAGACATCTATAGAACATTCCACCCAAATAGGAAAGAATATACCTTCTTCTCTGCAGCTTATGGAACCTTCTCGAAAATTGACCACATACTCGGAAACAAAGGAACCCTCCACAGATACAAAAAAATATCAGTGTCCACCTGTGTCTTATCTGATCACCACGGATTAAAGTTAGAAGGCAACAACAATACCACCCACAGAAAGCCGACAAACTCATGGAAACTGAACAGTCAACTACTGAACCACACCTGGGTCAAGAAAGAAATTAAAGTCTTCCTTGAATTTAATGAAAATAAAGGGACAACATACTCAAACCTATGGGACACGATGAAAGCAGTGCTAAGAGGAAAGTTCATAGCACTAAGTGCCCACTTAAAGAAAACGGAGAATGCATACATTGGGGACTTAACAACACACCTGAAAGCTCTAGAAAAAAAGAAGCAGACGCGCCCAGGAGAAGTAGAAGACTGGAAATAATAAAACTGAGGGCTGAAATCAACAAAATAGAAACACAGAAAACAGTCCAAAGAATCAATGAAACAAAAAGCTGGTTCTTGGAGAAAATCAACAAGATCGACAAACCCCTATCCAAACTAATTAAACAACAGAGAGAGAATGCGCAAATACATAAGATCAGAAATGAAAAGGGGGACATAACCACAGACACAAAGGAAATTCAGAGAATCATTAGATCTTACTACAAAAGACTGTATGCCACAAAACTGGAAAATACAAAAGAAATGGACATTTTTTTTTAAATAAGTACCATATACCAAAGCTAAACCAAGACCAGGTGAATGATCTAAATAGACCTGTTAGTCG